AAATAACTATAATTACAATAAGAACAATAATGAAAAATATAATCCAAATTAATTTTCGTTTTCGATAATGTTCATATCTAGAATAAGAAATTCTTTTAATAATTTATTGCAATTCATAATATATACATACAATCTTCTTAATGGTGTTGTACTAGAGTTAATTACTATCGACTAAAATATTCGAAAAAAAATAAGATTATTTTTTTTCTATCTAATACATTACTTCATCAGGTCCAACACTGCTGTTGATATTCATAATTGTTGTTTTATCTGAACTTCAATATTTTTATAATCTAAAATCGATAAAAAACTCTTTTGTTCTTTTAGATTGTTGACGAATATTGATATAATTATAGAAAACATAAATTAACTCATTGAATATCTTCTTTAAGATTTATGAGATTTGATGTTTTATCAAATCATCAATTAAAATAAAAATAAAAAACAATATTAAAAATAAGTTTTGATTCGTTCTTATTCGAGATGATTAAATCCAACTTCAAAATAATATATTATGTTTCTTACTTCTCGTCAATTAAATAGAAATTATTTTGCATGAGTTAAATAAAAACAAGTCTTCTCTTAAATAATCAGTTTAGAATATTTTATAGCATTTAGAACAACAACAAAAACATCCTATATCAATAGAAATATTATTTTTATTTCCTTTTTTTTCAAAGTTAGTTTTTAATAAAATACTGGCAGATGTAAGTTGTTATTTTTTATTAATGTAACAACTCTGTTGAATAAAATACAGAAGTAAATTGCTTGAAATAATATTTATCATGATTTTTTAGAAAAATAAAAAAAAGAGAAAGTCAGGGAATGACGTCAAATGCTACATTAGACACTTTGAGAAAGAATAGAATATTTATTGTTACAAATATTTTGTATTTAACTTTTTCAGCAGGATTCATTTTTTTTTGTAAAACGTTTCCAGATGTTCATTTACAGGAACACTTAACCTCTGAAAAAAGGACATTTAATGACGTCTTCATAATTTTCTGTCGATTATTTATCGTTCTCTTCTTTTCATTGCTACATAATGAGTCATTTTTGCAATCAACAAATTGATGACTAAAATTACTTTTTTTGTTTTGTTGCATGTTAATAAGTAGTATAAAGTGAGATATATGAAGGAAATATCTCTATTCTTTTGTGTATTCAAACGACCGAAATTGTGAAATAGTTGGCATATCGTTTGAAGAAACCGATACCGAAGACAGCTTTAACTGACTTCTCTCAATGATAGTTTTGATCGAATGAACATTGCCTCTGGAAGTTCCGATGAAGAGTTTACTAATAATTTTGTGGATTCACGTACCTGGAATGATGTACGGTCAGAATCCGATGAAGAATTCTTAGAGGGTGTGGATGTGGGTACGTGTATTGCTCCCATTCATTGCCCATACCCACACCCTCCAGATGGTGCACAGATACTACTAACATCAGCTATTATTGTTGATAAATTTTATCGTGAATATATGATTACTCAAAGCCTGCGTGATTAGTGTGATATAAAAAAAACGTTGATTGGAAAACAAACAATCTTAACACACTACTTCATACAATATTTGTGTGTCTTTTGAAGAACCTTTGTAACGGTATCACGAATAAGTTCAAGAACTTTAGCACGATGTTCACGTTTAGGTAACGTTTGTTTTTGACCATGTTGATCGCCATGTGTCAGAACTTTGGGATGAACAAGTATGTTAAATGTGAGAGTATCACCTTTCGCGCTATCTTTGCAACAATAACCGAAAGCAGAGGAAAATGTATACATGCCATAATCTTGCGATAAACGTTCGCAGACATTTGTATACAACAGAAATAGTTCTAGTTTATTCATTTCTCCATCAACTCCAAAATCATTCATATGCAGTATCAGTTTTGTCTCATAATTTGCCATTCCAAAGATAGTCATGGATTCCGGCGATGAACGCCCACCACGTCGAATATTCCAGTCGCGTTGCTTATGTTGATTATCTTTCGTAACAAACAAATCGCCTGCATAAATGCCATTCTTATAACCGAATTCCGTAGCTTCTAAGGCCACCATGCGTGAATAGGTATGAAACATCTCTTGCCAGAACTCGGATGAATCGCCTATATCAGCGGGTGACGACGATGTCCACTAAAACAGTAGAACAGAAATATATTCAACATAAACTTCTCGAAAAAATTTCTTACCTGCTCGATGTAAACTCCGCCTTTCGTTCCACAGAGATTGATAGAAGTTGGGAAAAATTTTCCACTGAGAACGAAACCACAGACTGTGTAGTCTGCATCAATATCATCCGAGCGTTTTTGGGGTTCGATGAACTCTTCCACTACAGCCATGAGCGATAACAGAGGTTCATCTTCAAATATTCTGTCGAGATGGTTATGTAAATATGATACGCGTTGCTCTTTCGCTATATCAATGTCGTAGATAATCGGGTGCTCACTGGGTGCCATCGACGACCAACCACCTGCGCCCAAAGAGTCCAATTTGACGAACGATGTTAACTGATATTTATTATGCAAATGATCAATGGCTTGAATGATTGCTCGTGAAAAGACCTACATGTGGAAGACAATTCAGTTTATTTTCGAACGAATTAAGGGAATATCTACGTACCTCAATATTATCAAATGTGTTTTTTACATGTACGGGATCGACTTGTTCCATATTTGTCATGAGTTCTTGATAGTTTTCAATTAAAGATCCATCGATGGAAACCGCTATCAAGCGTGGTAAAGCTGTGAAACCATTGGATCGCAGAAAAAAATGATGTTCAGCTTTGTCATTATTCGATACGTCAGGAAAGTACAAGCGATCCGAATAACTTCCGATTTCATCTTGGTGCCATTTATTCATATCGTAAGGGAAAACGAACGATCGACGAACATCTTTCATAATTGTTTCGAAATGACGCTTAAGCATACGAACATGATATTCCGGATAGAATTCATCAGGAGATCGTTCGACGAATTTTTCACAAACGATCATGTATTCCTGTGGATTTTCTTCGAACAAACGGATTAATTCGTGCAAATGACCAGCAGAATCTTCGTAGAGTATTTCAATAGGTATATTTCTTTTGAGATGTTGTTCGATCAGATGTTTCAGTTTCAAGTACATTCCCAACTCAATAGGATTTGGTGGTGCATAAACAAGTATTCGACCGCCACAACGAAATCCCGTTGATAACCAGAGAGCAGGAAGAAGTGAACGATCGTAACCACGTAGATCAGCAAAACAGCGAGGATCTGCGCCAAGTATTTGAATGGCAACGTCATCGAAGAGAATAATTTGATCAGCATCATCGAATGTTCGAGCAATATGGCGAGCTAATTCGAAGCGATAGTTAATATCAGCTGGATGCTCAGTACCAAAAGCAGCCAAGGCATTAGGTGAAAGATCGATTGAATTTAGACTGTCACAGTGGCTAAGATTTGGACTGCAGTTAAAAACGGTATCGGTTAATTCAGTCGTCATAGAAGTACTGTTTTCTCTAGAGCACGAAAGTCGATTAAACAAAAGCTTTACTCTCAATTATACAACGACGCACGATGCAGCAACATATATATATACAGCACCCGCGTGAAGGGTCTAAGATTGGGCGAGGGGATGTAAAAGGGTATTTAGAGCAAAATTTGCTAAAAAATCATAAAATTTGTTCCAAATCAGCTTCCGTCCTTGGAAAAAACAAAAGTTTCCAACTATTGAGCAGCTGTACACTCTCCCACACCCCACCTCCGCTCGCCTAGGTGCAGTATACGTAGTTATATATGAATAAAGCATTTTAATACTTGGTTTCTTCCTTCTCTTCCTCGCTTACTGCAATTGAGAACCTAACCATCTGTTCGCAGAAAAGAAATTTCTTTTTCTGGTTCTCTTGGGCACAGTTAAAAATAGTATTGCGTGGAACAACACAATGATATACACTTCCTTGTTTGAAATACATGATGAATAATTGAAAATCGTCAAATAGAATCATCAATCCCAATAGGCGGATGTGGGCGTGAGATAGATTCTCTACCTACCCATACCCATATCAATCAAGTAGATTTAATCTAATTAGGAAACGTTTCTTTCTGAAGATATTAAACTTCAGAAAAACAAACAATTCTAGCATCGTATGCTCACAGAGGTCTATCTTATGCACTGAATCCGAATCTAAAAGCGATCTGGCAATTGAAAAGGTTCGCTTCTTTTCTTATAGAATATTTTTTATTGCCTTATCGATTGCTTGTGATTCTATCGGTGAAGATACAGTGCACAATAGAATCCAAATTAAACACAGTTTATCACACAAAACTTAGTCAACATAGAAATATTCCGAATATTCGTGATGACAACAATGTAGATGTTTTGTTTTGAAATGAATTATACGAGATTAAAAAAGAAATATTAGATTAATCTTGTTGAAAGTTATTACTCAAATCTGATTCTATTATATCAAATTCTTGTACAAGATCATAATCTTCATCTTCCCATGTATTCGAATCCATTTGATTGTCTGTTGTTATAATCGATTGATTATTACTATATATTGTTTCTTTCAAATGATCTACATCTTCTGATGACCATTTATTGAGTTGCCATGGAACACTTCCATTGATTTTATTCATCATATCTGCCGCAAATAAAAAATTCACTTTATTTTGTGCAATTATGATTTCTTTTGTTGCCATTAAATGAACAAATTGACTGTATGCTTTTAATGGTTCATTAGAATTCAATAAACAATGTGCTTGATTAACTAGTTTCGTCCATCCAAATTTCAAATTATTGATAAAATTTTCGCCCTCTGTTTGTGCAGGCTCATTTCCATAATATAATTGAATACATGATGCTAATTTTCGACTACATATAATTCCATTATTTAATGATCGAAAAAAAGGTACACCAAATGCGGCGTCACCTACTAAACATGTATTATATTGTTGTTTATCTTGCTGATAATGTACAATTTCAGCTGATTGATATACCATTAGAGCAACAGATGTTATTCTTTCTGAATGTTCAACACGTTTTTCATCGGCATATTCTTTTTTAACATTTAACCATATTGTTATTGTATCTAATAAATCATTTGGTATAAGATGTTGATGTGTATGTAGATAATACGGTTGTTTAAAAGTTGCTGATTTCATTTGTTCATAAGTATGTTGATCAACTAATAAATGTATTGTTATTGGTGTTCGATTATCTTTTTCTGATCCAATATGTTCTTGAATAAAATATTTGAATTGTTTTTGTGTTCGATATTGATATTTAATAAAATCTAATTTTTCTCCATGACCATAAACTTCATATTTAATTTCTATGACATATTTTAATATATTTTGAACTTTCATTTTATTATTAAATACAAGTTGACGAACAGTTGAATGAGAACCATCAGCACCAATAATCATATGTGCATTGATAAATTTATCTAAATTAATTATATTTTCATATTTTATAGGAATTTCTAATTTTTTTGCGAGTTCTAATAATTGACTTTCAAGAACCGATGTTCGAATAACTGATGGTAAATTATCAATGAGATTTGTTAATAATGGATGAGAAGGAAAACCAAAAAACGTGGTAACTTTATTTAAACGGAGAACATGTTTACGTTGATATTCCACATGTTTTTCATAAATAACAAGATTTAATTGTGGTACAAGTATTTTTATTTGAATAGCTGTGAATAAACCAACTGGTCCACCTAAATACAAATAAATATGAATATTATTAAAATAATTTTGTTTTATTTGATTACCTCCAATAATGACGATTTGTGGACATTCTTCTTCCATGATTAGAATATTCTTTTTTTTATTTGTTATTTTTATGATTATCAGTTACGTCTTTTTAATATCACGAACGAGTCGTTAGTTTTGTTTGATATTTTATATGTAAAGTAATATTTACCTCCGATGAATGTAATCAAATATTGAGGAGAACGAAAGAGAAAAAACGAATAGGTATTTCATAAATATACGCGAAATATATTGTGAAGAAGTAGTTTGTTTTTATTAGGTTTGTTCTCTTGCCAATAACGACATGCGATGATGTTTTAGATGAATAACTTATGCAATCAACTAGAAAAAATTTTGTTGAATAAATATTCAACAAATCAATTAGAATTAAATTTATTTAAGCGACCATAAATATTCGCTCCCTTTTCGTCAGTCGAATCTTTCCAAACATTATTTCTACGAATAAACCATTGATAGTGTAGATGTCGTTGAAATGACTTGTTTAATCAGTTTGTAGAGGCCAAGGTGAAAACCATTTCATAATTATATAATTAAACTTTTTTATTGAAGATAGAATCAACAGTTACATCGTGTTTCATATTTTTATCCTGTCAAGGATTGTGCTAACAGCTTTTGACTTGCAAAACAAATTATGTTGAGTTTTTTATTAGGATATTGTATTGCATGTCGGCTAACAAAGAAATCTGAAAAGCTTGTCTACAAGATGAATAATAAATGAGATTATTTACGAGTTTTATTCTTTATTAATGAAAAATAACTTATAACATGACAGCAAAAAATTGTTTTAGTCAAGATCAATGACAAATTTTTGTATTCAATCATTGTTTATATCAGCGCCATAAAGATTACTCTGTCGATCAAATGATAAATCTCGAGGAAATCTGAATTGCGCGGGTCCACCTCCACCTGCGTTTTCACCAACGATAGTAGTACCTTCTATTGCACCTGGCGACCAGCGTTTTATTTGATGACTTCTCTCATTCGATACATAAATATTACCCATTTGATCAACAATCACACCTGCGGGTTGAAACATTAAACTGGAATTTTCTTCAGAAACTTTCCTGGAGTAATACGAGTATCTTCAGTCGCATTTTTCATCCATTTCATTACACGATTATTTGTAGTATCCGCTACGTAAACAGAATAATAGTCATCAACAAAGATATACCTAGGTTGATTCAATTGATTTCCTTCTTCATTTGCACCTGCTATAATTGTACCTTCGCTGTCTCCTTGTCGCCAACGTCTGACTTGATGTGTGTCCCAGTCAGAAATGTAAAGATCCCCATGATTATCTATTGCTAAACCGTAGCAAACAATACGATCAATTAATACTTGCGGATTCTGACTACTTTGAAGAGACCATCATACCACTCATAGGTTTCGATGATCACAAATGATGATACATTTCTTCTCTTTATCAAGAATTACATCCTTTGGATGATTCAGCTGATATAGTTAACGTCCAGGTCCAGTTCCACCTGCAACTATTTCACCTTTGTGTGCACCAGATTCCCATCTAACAATACGATGATTATAAGAGTCAGCAATGTAAATACTATGATCATCATCATTAATATAATCCAACAACAGTAGATGCAGCCTTTTTCCATTTCGTATTGCTACTAATGATAGCTGAAGGAGGTAATTGTTCTATAAAACATTAAAAACATTTCAATTTCTTTTCTTTCTTTTCGATCCAATAACTATTTCTTAAATTAAAGCCTATTTTGTTTTATTCAACATAATATTTCAATGCTACTGCATATAAAACACGAGAACTTAGGTGTAAGTGTAGATGGATGAACTATGAATTCGATACTACATACTCATGTACCCCTCCGTGAGCCTTTCAATATTTTTATAATTAGTTTTAACAAAATCATACCGTTTGTTGTTGTTGTTACTGTTGTTGATGGTTTTTCTTTTTCAGTTTTGTTCGATAAAATAGTGGTTGTTACAACAACTGTAATTAAAACAACACAAATAATGAGAAATATTATCCAGATCAATTTTCTCCTTTGAAAATGTTCATATCTAGAATAAGAAATTATTTTCATACTTTAATTTAATTTACAATATATGCATACAATCTTCTTAATGGTGTTGTACTTGAGTTAAGTACCGCCAACTAAAATATTCAAAATAAAATAAGATTATTTTCTTTCTGTTTTTAATACATTACTACATCAGGCTCAACTCTGTTGTTAATATTCATAGTTATTCTTCTATCCAAACTCCAATATTTTCACAATCTGAAGTTAAGAAAAACAACACTTTTTCTTCAAAAATCATTGATCAATATTTAATATAGTCAAAGAAAATATAAACTATTTTTTGTATTTATGAGATTTGATGTTTTATCAAATCAACAATTAAAATAAAAATAAAAAACAAGTTTTGATTCATTCGTATTTGAGACGAGTAAATCTAACTTCAATATGATATATTATATTCCTTACTTCTCGTCAATTAAATAGAAATTGTTTCGCCTGAGTTAAATAATCAGTTTAGAATATGTTCGTATTTGAAACAACAAAAAAACATCTCATATCAATAGAAATATTATTTCTATTCCCTTTTTTTTTCAAAGTTAGTTTTCAATAAGATCTTGACAGATGTGAGTGTGTTATTTGGTATTGATGTAAAAACTCTGTTGATTAAATACAGAAGTAAATTGTTTAAAATAATATTTATCATGACTTTCTAGAAAAAGAAAAGTCAGGGATTGCCATCAAATGCTGCATAAAATATATTGAGAAAGAATAGAATATTATTGTTAAAAATATTTTATATTTAACATTTTCAGCAGGATTCAGTAGTTTTTTAGAAAATTTTTCCAGATGTTGTGGGTGTGACTGAGAGTATTGTCTCTAAGTCGCACTCACACCCAAATTATGTTGTTGTAACAAATAATTTTGGATTAACACAATATAATAGCGTACTCGATATTGATTATATGAATGTATCTCTTTATGCGGAATTATTTGAAAATAAATATATATTAAAAAATTCATCACAAGTTTGTTCTTGTCAAAATAATGATTCATGTCCTTCACCTGGAAATCTTTATTTATATAAGAATTCTGAAACTTTTGGAATTTATGATTTAAATAGAATCAAAGCAAATGAAACATTATCTGGTATAATAATTGATTGTTTACCATATCAAATGGCACTTTCATCATCATTAGAATAATAATCAATCATGTTTAAACATTCTTTTATTATCTTATAAAAATACGTTAAGTATTTCAGTTCTTAATCAATTTTTATCAAGTCGCTTTCTTTCAACAACAAAATCGAATTACTTATCAATGAACTTTTTTTTAAAGAAATGTTTAATAAAACAAATTATACAAAATATTATTCACAATGTCTACCCAATGTTTGTCAATATATTTATATACCACGTTTTTATTGATCTTCTTGGAGAAATAACAATTGTATTACATATAATTATTCCATATATTATTCGATTAATTTTATGTATCAAAAAACTAGTTGTTTCAAAGAAACATCAACAAGTTAGACAAAAAAATTAAAGTAAGCTTTAAGTAAAAAGCAACACGATTATATATTATTTTATTTTCATATTCATCAAATGAAATATTTAATGAAACTATTATAAATCCATATGGACAAGAATATGAAAAACTAGAAGAAAAATATTTATCAACATTAACATGTCGATGTACTCAAATATCTATACCTTATCGAGATTTAATAACAATCAAAGTAAAATATCACCAGATATGTACAAGTGATTTTGTTAATAAACAATAGGTTAATTATTTATTTTATGAAGAACATTGGTACGAGTATAAACGACGTGATATTCGTGTACATAGTAGTGCATATTTTTTATTTTTTTCAAATTTATATCAGATTTCTCAAATAACAATCAATTGTGCAACTGAAGAATTTCTTAATAAAATATTTATCAATACTAAATTAATATCAGAATCTAAATTTAATACTCAAATTAAAAATATTATTTTACAACTTTAAAACGTCACTTTAAAAAAATTTATCGAAGCTTAAAACTTATGCATGATATAATCAATGAAAATACTTTTGTATTGGCGGAGAGACACAAAATAGTACTTTTACAATAATTTCAACTAGTCCAATAATAATGAAAACTGAATGTTCATGTGGAACATAAAGTAATTGTATTGATTCAGGAGGAATTTATTATGATTTAACTAATGATCAAGCGTTTGCAATGCCTGGATTACCATATTGGATGTACAGTTGTAGAAATATTATTACAATCAACATTTGAATGTTTATATAATCAAGCATGTATTGATTTATTATTATATATTATATCATACTTGTTTACAATCAATATAGTTATCGAATGAATATATCAGCTATTAATTCTTCAATTGCAAATCGTTTTAAAAGAAATACATTCATACAAATTATAGTAGATAAATTATTTATTGAAGAATGGAAAATCAATAGTTCTTATTCTTTATTTTATAATTAATGTGGTCCTATTTATTGTTCTTATATAACTCAAAAAGATGATTATGTTATTTATATTATATCAAAAAATTTAGATTTTTATATGGAGGATTAACTGTTTCTTTAAGATTTGTTATTCCAATCATTCCTAATGAATAATTTATAAAATAATTTTACGATAAACTATATCAATCCTTATACAAACAAGCTTTGCTCATTATTTTAATAGATGCTTATTTACTTGCTTCGTATTCATTTTTTTTAACATTATTGAAATCGTCTCGAAAATTTTGCATATGAATAAAAAAAAATGAGCGTAGATTACAATGGTAAATAATGAGCATTCAAGTGTATCCAAAACGTCCTTGTCAAAAATATTAAGAACGAAGAAAATAAAATTTAGATTTTTTAATATAGGAGTTTCATCTAAAAACTATATCCGTTCGAGAAATAAATTGTTAATAAGATTTCTTGATTTTTCTTTTTCGTTGATGCACCTTTGAAAATGAAAAATATACGTTGTTTAGAAGGTTTCATCATTGTTGCCAATCTGTCAATGAAATATGTGATCAGTCATCAATTATTTTGTGTATGAAGAAAAAAAAATTATATCTCAAGGTAATTACTGTCTATCGAAAAAAATGTCCGTAGATTACAAAAATAAAGGTGCATCGAAAATGGCCTTGTAAACAAAATAACAACAGCGATGAAAACAAAATTAAAATTTTCTAATATAAGAATTTTATCTACAAATCAAATCGATTCGAGAAATAAATTGTTAATAATATTTCTCAGCTTTTCTTTTTTCTTTATGGATCTTTGATAACGAAAAATATACGTAATTGCGTACCTCTCAGTGAAATATGCTATGAGTAATCGATTGGTTTGCGTATGAAGAAAAAAAGAAATTATATCTCAAGGTAATTACTGTCTATCGAAAAAAAAAATGTCCATAGATTACAAAGATAAAAGGTGATCATAAAAGTGCATCCAAAAATGTCCTTCTAAACAAAATAACAACAACAAAAAAAAGAAAATTTATATTTTTTTAATATAAGAATTTTATCTAAAACCATATCGGTTCGAGAAACAAGATTGTTACACTATAAATTTGAAAATACTTTATAGTGAAAACGAAAGGATATTCTAAGAGCACTCATAATATATTGATAGATGAAGTTCTACTTTCTTAACAATATGAAATGAATGAATGCGTCAAATAAAAAAAGATAATTTGAATGTCGCTTCATAAACATCTAGTTCACATACATGCATGAAATAAAATATAAGATTTTTAAATTCTCTGACTATCACATAGTCTTTTTATAGGATATTATTTTGACATATGATGAAAAGTCTTAACTGTGAGTAATTTTTTTTCAAGGTTCTTCATATAAACCAAAACTTCGTGTATCGATCGACGGATCTTCTAAATGAAATAATAAGGAGATATGAAAAATTTATCTGAAAGAGAATTTTTGGACATTATATGAATATTCGATTGTAATTGCCAAAAATATTAATGCTTTAATATGTATTTTTTTTATCATTAATGAAACGTCCAAATATTTTCTTCGTATTGACGTCAAACACTGGTTAGTTAGAAAAAAATCAGTAATAGCTTGATTAATGAGCCATAACATCGTTGCGAAATGCAAAAGATAGACAGGAACAGTGAAAGCAAAAATAGAAAAATAAGAAAGAGAGATGCGGAGGAGCTGCTGCTATATAATCAACGAATATCACTGATATTTTCGCATTTAAATTCAAACATCACAAATGCAGTAAAAAAGGTAAGCAGTATAGTTATCTAATATTATTAACGGTTTGCTCGTAATATAAACAAATAAGTTATTGCTACTACCGCAAAAGTAGGAGTAACTTATATCATATCTGAGTGACTACAGAATTATTTGAGAATATATAAAACTTAAATATATTTCACTCGATATTAGATAAATTTGATCAAATTTAATATAGTATTTGCATATTATCACTGTTTTTTTTATGAGTACGTCACAATGATCGTAGTTTTTACTGAAGTTCATTTAGTTTCCCATAGCAGATCAGTTTTGAATGTTGGCTCCTTGAGTTCTTCAAGCTCATCCAATCCAGCAATAACTAGAAAGATTTTTGTTTACATCAGTTAATTGACAACCAATTCTGTTATATGACGACTGAAAAGAACTATATGAATACAATAACATTATTTGAATCATTAAATTCTTATGAATAATTTTATTGCATGAAATATTCATTTTACATTAAATTATTCATTCCTTTTCTTAAATTGAATGTATAATATTAACTCGAGAAAAGATAAAAATTCTTCCTTCTTTTTTAATAATTCTTTAAATAATTTAATGAAATGGATCAAATGCAATAAAGTAGTTAAAAATATTATTTTTCTCAATATTTGATAAAAATGGAATGAAATAAAACAAAATGTAATTATTTAATATATTCCATTAAATAATTTAAAGAATTATATTTGATGTATATTTTTATCTAATAAATTAAAGAATTAATTCAATCATTAAATCCTTATGAATAATTTTATTGGATGAAACATTCATTTAATAACAGGTTTAACAAAAAATACCAGGCATAAGGAAGGATACAGTCAAGTAAATCTTAGATTCATTCAATCCGTTCGGCTGATGTAATGAGGCCCGCTTGACTCAAAAGATAGGGTTCTCGTGAGGGTATGTATGGGTATGAAGATCGTCTTCATTTATCATACACCACAAACCCACACCTACAAGATTACTTAGAATCACAAAACAGCGTATCATATTCTTGCTCAATCCAATGTATTACTTTAGATCTTTATGAAGTGCAATGAATTCTGTAGTTGTTGAGATTCAGTGACTGATTCATGATTTTCTATCTATCTTTTAGTTTCTCTTAGAATCGGAACTTATAAAAACTAGTGTTAAAAATAAATCTGGAATAGTGTAATAAAGATTATCTTTCAACATCATATTTTATTCATATGATCAGCACTTATGGCAAGACAGTGTTAAAAAATTTAAACGAACTTGAAGCACATATAAACAGGTTTAGTTTTCATGGTTCAAACTTCTGCAAAAATATTAAACGTTTTTGTACGATATGGAGGTATGTGAGCATAGGGTAGAAGAAGTAATGTATATTGTCATGTTTTGATCTAGACATGAAGACAAAGATGCCTAATATTCAAGGAGCAAGGAACAATGAAGAAGGTTTCGGAGCGTGGTTACGCCGGTGGTGAGTGCCTGTTGCCCTTTTTTTACATAATACACAGTAATTGAATTTTCTTGCAGGCAAGAGCAGCTCGGATGCCTACTAGCCAGTTGCTGTACTGCAAGTGGGCTGATCACAATAGGTGCTGTTGTGGCCATCAACTTGATCCCGGTGTATCTCAGCACACAAGGTGGTACAATAACAAACACGAATAAAGGTGAGTGAATGATAACAACTTTATAAAGCTCTTTTTTTAATAGTTATTCGTCATTATAGGGACGACATTGAATCTGGCATTTACGACAGATTATTCATCACCAACGGATAGTACGCGACCAACTATCGGAAACATGCAAGATTTGGCAAAACAGGTAAGGCTTTTATTATTTTACGAATATAAATTAGAGCAATATCGTGAGTGATGCATGTGGTTTTTAATCTGCAATGAAAGCAAGATCTTTTGAAACTACGTCAGTTCTATTCCCAGACCACTATAGTCTGATTTATAAAGAGATATAAAGGGTCGTAGTTAGATCACGTCAACATAAAGCACTCTCTTGTAACTATTACACTGTTCTGAGCGGCCTCATTTGCTTTCACGTGGAACTCTATTATATTGTATTGCCAAAGTATGAATGCTTAATGCTTTATACGATGTTTGATGATTTACAAAACGTGTTCACTGATTCTTTGCTTTCCATTTTGTTGGATAAGAATAACTCTTTTTTGCTCTCTCTCGAGGTTGAGAAGATAGCCAAGATCGATTCGGACATATTAACAGCGACCGCTGCTCAATTCAGGAACCAAGAAGAAACTCGTGGACGCCGAAGGTAAGTAGTTTCTGTGTATAGCATATCATGGAGTGAATATCTTTGAATCTTTATTAGTACATCTATGTGCGATGCAAGTGGCAATACACCGTTGGCAGGTGACTTTCTCCAGATTATTTTTGCTGTATCATATCCAAAACAATGCGGCAACGCTATTGAAAGTATTTGTGCAACACAATTCCTTGACAAGATCACTATTGCCATTCGTGGTCTTACAGCATTTAAAGCAACAATCCAAATCAACGGGAGTGCACCATTTAGTGTACAACTCGCGAGTTGCTCGATAACAAGTAAAATTATAAGTAAGTTTCTCTCTCTTCTTTGTGTGCTACTACCCTTGTTCGACATCGGAAGAAAGGTAGTGCGCATTCATCGACACAAATATTCGAAGATTCTTTAAAAAAAAACATTAACATCTCCTTCGATCTCATAATTTAATACTAATCACTTTTGGTTTATGTACAGTCTAAATTATCCACAGATTAAAGTCGAAAAGTCAATTATTTTTGAAAAAATGAGCAAGGACTAGGAATTCAAATACAATTTTGTACCATCATTTCGTAACAATATGCTCTTGTCTCATACGCCTTCTGCTGCGATACATTACAGAATAATAGATAATTAGAAAAATAATATGCTTCATAAAAATTCCTGCATATTTTCATTATCTTCATAGAACCTATTACTACAATGATAAGTGTTCTGTAAAAGACGACGGATCTGCAGAAGAAAATAACCAAGTTGATGACTTAGCTTAGGAATAAGGCTTTTTCTTTTAGCACAAACTTGTAAAGACAACATTCACAATCAAAATGAAACGGATGTCGACTGTGGTAATCACATTTGCACGACGTGTGCGAACAACAATTGCAATGCAACAACAAAGACATGTTTAGGTGAGTTCAACAGAAAGAGAAAGGCTGTTGAAGTGGATTGCTTCTTAGCCATGAAATACAATGCGTCGACCAATTGTAATGCTACAGAGAGCAGTGGTAACTGCGTTCCAACTGCAACTCAAACCAACGCTTAAACATGCACTGCATGTAGTTAGCGCGTCAATACGATCAATGCACCATGTCCAGATAACTGATCTTCAACGAAATGTCTTAGACCGCGTGTTCTCTCTCACTCATTGTTTGCAACTACACCATGCGTACCAAACTCCTGCAACTTGAATAGTGGTAGTGGTACTGATTGTACTGGTTCTCTTGGTGCTGGTCCTTTTAGTGGTTGAAACAGATTATAGGCCGACTGGCGATGTTGTGTACCAACAGTAACAGCTTCATACGAAATTAATCAGAAACACATTTATTCTGATTTTTTTTCGCGAAAATAAACATTTTTTTTAACAATAATCTGTATCTGAGCAGCCTCTGTTTTTTTAGTTAGCATCCATTCGATTGTATTCTTTCATTTCATCCTATATTTTTTCTAATTAGAAACTAAAATAAAAACTTAAATTAATCAAAAATGGTGATAAAATAAGCAATTGATGAGAAACGTGTAATGCTTTGTCAGTGGAAATTGTCCTTATCGAACGTTGCACAGAGTTTGTTGTTAATTCTTTTTGACTTTTTGTTTCATCCAAATGTAGTGCTAAAGATATGTTCACAGGATGGCAGGAAGATGCTACTAGTAAAAGAAATAAATGGATTGTATTCGTCCTCCATCTTATCATAACCGTCTTGCAGTTTCATGATAAATATATTTTATCCGTAACACTGTAATGTACGTTTTGATGTTTATAAATAATTCATAAAATAAATCGATTCTTCAATATATCTTCTTTTCAAGTCATTATCATTGTCAGATCAAAAAGTTATAAATGGAGACGTTTTTTCTCACTAGTTCGAAAAAAATCAAAAGACAGTTATTTATCATTTCAATATGTTGTTTAACCAATATCTTCCAATAAAAAGCTTTTTTCAAATAGTAACTCGAACTCTTTATTTATGACTGAACGAAATTCATTCTCTATATAGCATAGAATATACGAAGGCAGAATGAAAAAGAGCACAGCGTAGATATTTCAGGTATAAAACAAACGAGAGAAAGGAAAAGAAAAAACGTGAGAACACAGAAACAAGAATTATATCGGTAAATATCGAGTATACTGTTGCGTGTGATAAGAAAAAGAAAAGAATTAGAAGTATCCTTGGCTTTGATTGTCGTCCGTATCAACGGTTTTTTTGTGAAGGATATTATATGTTTGTCTAGCCGTCGCGTCCTGTTAAGGTTTTTATAACAACTTCGTCCTTGTCTGATCTGTAATGAATTTTTATTTTTATTGTTCGTTACGAGTATAGGACTTGACTGCGTTAGTTTTGCATGTAGGAATTCGTATAATAAAATTCATATGTCTTTATAAAAGTTTATATTTCTTGGTAAATAATTCATACTAGTTAAACTAGCTTTAATAAGAGTCATATAAATTCATAATATTCTATATTGAATAATGGACCTACTGCATTGCTTAATAATAATATATTTTAACTCGTAAAACTTCATAATAATTCATTAGACTTTATAAAGATTCATAAGGATTTTCGTAGAAATAGCTAAAGTTCCTACTAATTCAGAATAATGTATATTCAAGCACCATTAATTATGATCAGCAATACGTTTATCGATAAATTCAAAATAAATATCCGTACCAATTCAAGGATCCAAAGTCCAAATAATAAGTTGAACATACGACGAATTTTTTTATTGCCAGTTGTGTATAACCAATTGTACTATTTATAAGAGCTAATCACCTATTTATAAAAGTTGATCACCACAATATGGGCAAGCCATACGTAAAATTGTATCACATGCTTTTATAACTATCATCAGACGGATCACCAGGCATCGAAAAACGATGCAAGTTGCCTCGTGATTGCCCGGCACAATCATGTAAAAGTTGTCCGCAGTTACGATCTTCATATCTTGTTGGGATTTATTCCATACACTTTGATAAGTTGAGTTAGGCTGTTGATGAGGGGGGGAAATATCCCATGTCGTCAGCATATGAAATATCACCAACATGAAGAAAGAAATTTGTTTTTGGAGCTATTGCAGCTAATTGTAGAATTGTCAAGCGGGCCAGGTCTTGGTTCAACCTGTCGTTTCTATAGATTCATTCACACATAAAGATTTTCGTATACGATAGTAATATGTAGTCGATAAATTAACATTCATGATACAATTATGGAACCATGATATAGTTCCCAACTTACTGTACGTACTGGATGTTCTATTTGAAATAATACTGCTCGACATATCCGGATGTATGTTGTATTCAACTTGTGAAATAAGGGTATCGTTGCCACCATCGATAGTACCAGTGGTTCGCCATGAAACTGTTACTGTATTTGGTCCTTCAAATGCAAGTCGTATTTGTTCAGGTGAACCTGTATATACACACGCTGGTGCACATGTACATGTTGTGATGAAAAATAAAGATTCCTATTGCTACTTTATTTAACCATCATGTTGAATCCAACCTTCATCCGCTGAGTTCGTGTTGAGACTGACTATATGAAAGAAACAGAACATGAAAGAAAGAAAGAGAACAAGAGAAACGATACAGAACATAAGAAAGATAAATGTAATAAAGAAAACAGGGGGAAGGGGTATTTGAAAGGATGTCCATCTATTCTCTTGGCACAGAATGCACAAAAAAACTCTTATTTTATATATGGGACACATTAGTATAGTTTGTATCTAGGAATAAGAAATATAAAACAAACAAATGATCAATGATGTTATACTCGAGGGTGTGGGTGTGAATATTGTATTCTTCTAGAAATCTCACCACACTCCCACCCACACCCTATAAGAGAGATTTTGGGTGTTCGTGTTGAAGGGGGTCATTTTTTTTTTGTCTTTGTTAACGGTTTATTTTTTCTAGGAGTCGGACAAAGTGGGTGTTCGTAGCATTAACCTATGTGCGTTCTTACAAAGTTGGGTATACGTGGTGTTAGCGCAAATAACTAATACCCCTTTAAAAAATGGGAAATGGAAGAAGTATGCACTGAGAAGCGTGCAACAATGATTGTTGTTATAAGCGTAAAGCTTAGATAAAAAAACGGTTGTGTTTAAAGTTGAAGAAATTATTAGCGAATTGAAAATATCATGATCGAAACTCCATTCACACCTTATTGGGAAGAGTAAATTAAATGTGGGAAGTGCTCACATGCATATCAATTTCATTATTTCAAAAACAATTCAACATGCTTTTACTTTTGTGTGAAGGTGTGGGTGAAGGTGGTTTTACTCTCATTATCATACCCACACCCTATCATCATAAATTCATCAAATTTCTCTTTCATTATCCGATAGTCTATGCAAAAGACGAAAAATGTTGTTCTGTTTGATCGACATCTTTCTCGATTAAGTGTCAAGTTGAAGCGAATACTATACCAATAAATTAGAAAAGTTCGAAAATAATAAAGCAATATTGATTATTGATGAATACGTCGACGCCATCGTTTGAGTGATTCTCGGAATGTTTTTCTGTACAATTCCGAAGGAAGGACAAAAACAATAAAGATAAGCATCGATGGAGTAAATGAAATAAAATAACCAAAAATAAATAATAATCGATTGTTTGATGGATTGACACATTCTGATAACATTGACATAATCAGACGGGGTAAGGACAGAATTAGAAGAATAATTGGACTGATTAATAATTGTTTATGTTCTTTAAATTGATGATAAACATGTTCTCTTAGAGTTTGTCTTGTCTGAGCTGTCGATCGTTGTCGGGCTGATCCAAATATGATGAATAAAGCAGAACAAAGATTGACAATACATGGAGTGACAAGATGAAAAAATAGGATAATTGTATTGTATTGTTGAACAGAAGGAGAATAACGAGTTACACACCATCTATCGATATCCACTTCGTTCTTCTCTGTATTTACTTCATGTAATTCTCGATATATAGGTTCATGAATGATTGAACTCATGACACAGAATGGTAAGATGAGAACTATCCATCGAGCAATGCGTTGACTTTTTTGTTTATTGAAGTTAACTCCGCTGAAAACAAGGATCGCTCTTTCAATAGCTACACAGGCATTGAGCCAAGCATCTAAATAAAGACAAAGCTTGAGAAGAGGTTCGATCGATACACAACCTCCTCGAACAATAGAAAGACGAATTGATGGATTCATTTGAGTGAGAACAACAAACCAAAATTTCACTATAAACATGCTGATTGTAAGAAAAGAAGTAACTGATGATGCTAAGAAATAGATGCCACATCCAACCTGTCGTAGATCTTTACTTTGAAATGTTATTAGAGACAAAATACTATTGATCAAACCTCCAACAAACATAACCATCGTTATAGCGGCATTGATTTTCACCAATATTGTTTGATCACTTAATGTCATATTCGGTCGAATTTCGTCACGTAAAATATCATCGAGAATGACACCGATACTTTTTTTGTAAAATTGACATTTTTGGCCAATGAAACAACTGGTCAGAGTTCGAGCTGAAGAAAGAAATCCGTGGTCATTGAGAGATGAAATCAATCTGTTAACTCTTATTTTGATGTGATTAAGAGACAAACTTTTGATTTTATTTAAAAAGACTGATGTATTTATACATCGATAAACACATACCTCGGACATATTACAAATAGTTATATCTAAGTGAAATCATACCTGGAACATAGTACACTTATCGATTAGTGATTACAAATAGATATATCTAAGTGTTATTACTTAGATCATACCTCGAGAAGATATAATAAACTAATATATATAGGACAACATTATGATGTGATCTAGGGATCAGATCATAACACAATCTTTCTCAGCTTAATAAAGTCATGTTGGAGCAAGTTTATAAGTAACAATAGTTTGTGAAAGTCATTGGTATATACATATGTTGTGCCGAGATTAGACTTATATATTTCTATTTTCTTTTCAATGTCTCATGATGATTTTACTCAGTTTTGTAAAGGTGCGTCTACATATGAACTCGGTAGATTTTCGAAGACTGCAAGATAATAAAACCTCAGATAGAGTGAAATCGCTAGAGAATAGGTTTTCTCGGATACATCGTTGATCTGAGAAGAAAAGTTATATCAATTTACTCAACAGATTGCACTCGTATAATCCATCTCACCACGACTAAGCTGCAATACTAAGACTTAATCGTATCTGATTGGAAATCTATCTGAAATTCTCAAATCTTTTAGTATTCAAGAGTGAAAATAGAGTCGAGTGGGATATTGTAATTCTCTGTTAATAGTTTACAAATAATACAAAATACTTACTATAGGCGTCAAGCGTGATATCATTTGGACCAAAAATCCGAATAGAAAACCTTCCTGTCATATTTGGAGAAGATGTTGCCACCACTAATATGTATGTAGTGCCAGTATGAAGATAAGCGATGAACTTGAAATCTTTAAAAATACAGCTTCGATAATCCTGTGACAGTTGATTCTCGAAAGGATTCATTGGATTAAAATCATCTTTGTAAATATAACCAAATGTATTTATACTGCTAGAACTAATCAGCGTATAGTGTCCAGTTTCCACTACATTCACTCGTATAGTTTGATAGTAATAATTTGATTTTCGACAATCTCGAGAATATGTTTGACTATTTGTTGTCAGCTGTAATGAATATGTTGATTGTAGAACTGTTGAATATGGGATTTGGATAACAGATCGAGAACCTACGTGATGAAAACAAAAACAAAAGTCAAGATTCATGATAGATCTTGATTGACTGAGAGAAAGACGAATCGTCTTAATGTAAGAAAGAAAATTGAGCATTATAAGTCATCTTTTATATACCCTGAATATTGAAAAACATGTCGAAGCTAAGCCTAGCTTTTTGAAAAGATGACTCTTTATAATATCACTCTCAATGAAATAATTAAGTCGTAAATGGAGAGTGAGAATATAATCTATAAACATGTTTCTGTACTCGAATCCTCGCTAATATATGTCACAAATGAGTTTGGCATAACTTCTTTATTTCGAAAATGGATAATGCCCCTATGTTTTAGATAGGAAAAATTGTTTATTTATAGTCTAATTCTTCTACTATTGTAATTTATTCAAAAATTAAAGTACGTAAAGATATCTTCCCGATTCATACAAAGTAAGAATATATTTATATTTTTAATCTACGATACACTATGTTTAAATGTTTGTAGCATTTTTTTTAATTATAGGAACACTGAGTGATAGGACATGTTGTAATAAAAAGCAAACTTTTCTTTCATTTCATGGTGACGAGCAGGGATTCATGTCAATTTGTATATTATTCACATGAAATTAGCGCTTGATTGATCTGATCCTACTCACATTATTCTATTATTCGGTGGATTTAATGTAGCTATTTGTGTAAAACTGCCGTCTTACAATACAAATGTCATCTTATAAAACACGTTTTTATTTGTGGATATGCCAAACTCAACTAAATACTCATGTTAACACTGACAAATATTCGTTTAATGGTTGCAGTGCAAACACTTACTAATATTCTTGAGATCAACATTATTTAGACCGGATACAATGATCGAGAATGCACCTATCGCATCATTAGCAGATGTTGTCACAATCAATATATATGTAATACTACTTTCCAGAGCAATTTTGAGTCTAAACTCATACTGTTGGCAGCTTTCATCATAGTAATCGAGTCGGTTTTCATATGGATTGGATGGATTGAAATAATCTTTGTAAATAAAACCGTATATGTCCATATTGCTTTTGCTGAAGAAAGTGTAAAAACCACTTTTACGAACATTCACTTGTATCGCTTCATAGTGAGAACTTGAACTTGAACTTGAACAATCAACGATATACGTTGAACTGTTCGTCGTCAATTTTGTTGCATAAAATGTTTGAACAATTGATGAAGTATTCACTAACGAAAAAGAAAATCGATTCAACTTTGTATAGTATGAAAATAAGTAAGCAATCTGAAGTTTTATTTTCACATCTCGAATACAATTACCGAAAGCGAATGAAAATGATATGAATATTGATATAAATAAATGCCAGTATACTCTCACTCTCAAGATGATAGAAAACACCTTGTGATATCAGGTGTGAACGTAGTATACATTTAATATTTACACCCACATTCATCTTCAACCACTAACATCCACATTAACACCCACAATCCTCACATTAGGAATCAACTGTAAAAAACCCGAATTCGAGAGAAATTGTTCGGATGATATTCATAATATTCCGTTATTTGATGGATTTGATGTGGCTGTTTGTGTAAAACTCTCTTCTTATAATAGAAATGTCATCTTACAAAACAAGTTTTTATTTGTGAATATGCTTTAACTACTCAAACAGACAAGATTTTGAAAAAAGGCGTTTCCGCGGTCAAAAAGTGTTCTTCACACGTTAAAAACGCTGCTTTCAGCGTGTAAAGAACACTTTATGATCGCTGAAACGCTTTTTTTCAAAATCTTGTCGGCTTGGGTAAGTACTCATGCTAAAATTGACAGATATTCATTTAATAGCTTTAGTGCAAACACTTACTAATATTCTTGAGATCAACATTATTTGGACCGGATACAAAGATCGAGAATACACCTGTCTTATTGGAGTCATACGTTGTCACAATCAATATATATGTGATACTGGTTTCAAGAACAATTGTGAATCTAAACTGCAATCGATTGCAGAAGGCATCATTGCCTGTCAGTCGATTTTCATATATATTGGATGGATTGAAATAATCGTTGTAAATAGAGCCGTGTGTGTTCATATTACTTTTGCTGAAGAAAGTGTAAAGACCACTTCTACGAACATTCACTTGTATCGCTTCATAGTAAGAACTTTTTAAATCTGAACACCAAAGGAAATATGTTGAACTGTTCATTGTCAATTGTGATGCATAAACTGTTTGAACAATTGATGAAGTATTCACTAACGAAAAAGAAAATCGATTTAATTTTGTATAATATGGAAAGAAATGTAAACAATATGAAAGGTTATCTGCTCTCTCAGATATATTCACCGAAAGCGACTGGAAGCGATACGAATCTTAGTCTCTATCGAACAGAAATATCTGTATATCATTTTGTAAATTGAGTTTATCTATATTTTTTATCGATGATAGATATGTGTAGCTGATTATCTATTAAAACATTAAATACTTACAAATCCGATTGAAATCGATATAGCTACGGCCAGATCCTTGAATTGAAAAGTTCCCCATCAAATTCGGGGAAGATGTTGTCATAACGAAAATGTACTTCGTATTGGCTTCAAGAACAGTTGTGAGTTGAAATTGGCCTTGATTAAGAGAGTCTCCGTTACGAATGAGCACATTTTCGGACACGTCGAATGGATTGAAGGTGTTTGCGTAGATATAAGCGTACATGGATTTTATCTCACTGTTGATTAGAAAAGTATAATATCCAGTTATAGTGATATTCATTTGTATCACTTCATAATACGAGTCAAACTCTGAACAATCTTGAAAATAAATTGAACTATTCAAGGTCAGTGATGATGAATAGATTGTTTCTATAACTGATGAATTATCTACTGAATGAAAAAAATCAATGAGTATGTATTTACAATAAAGAAAAGAAATGATTGCGCATATTCTTAGTTTGCTTTTCAGTCTGTTTACTAAAGAGAGTTCAATTGTTTGTTTTAGAGCAATGCTTTTAAAAGATAAACGAAGAAAAACAGGAGCTAAAATATTTATTTAGCGTCCTTACAATAAGTATCGATGTTAGCCCTTTAAATCCGTATGTTTTTTCGAAGAAACATTATAATAATTACAATAAAGAAATATTATAAAACCTCGTATGTAAAACTGAGTATCATTCTGGACTAAGAAACTATGATAAATCATAAACTTACAAATTTATAACTTCTTCATTATCATTTTTATCTTCAAACTTTTCCTCTTCTATAAATATAATGCAGAACATTAGTTTATTTGTCGATATCATTAAACATAACAATAAACTATGTGATGAAACTATTTCATGAAGTTTTCTAGTCAATCTACGAGTGTAGCATGGCATCATCAAGAAAATGTCGGTTAGAAGTGATATTCGATTCATTGTTAAAATATTACAAGAGCGACTCTTTTATTCTTTTTTATTCTAATAAAGTGTGTCTCGAATAATCCGAAAAGGGTAGCACTTTTTCCTTCTTTTTGTTCTTGACATTTTTCTGTGAAGATACCAATCTATATTTAAATCTCACTTCTTTGTGATAATCCTGATTCTATTCTCGTTCGCCAACTAAAATCATGATCGCAAATATAACATAATTGTTTTCTCATCTCGAGAGTAAAGGTGACATTCTGAGTCTCTATGATTATGACACAAGTTGTGGTTGACACTCAAGCATAGGATAATTTCTCTCTAACAGATGTTTTATATCTACGAATTTAAAAGCACATTGAACAACTATGCAAAACGACTTTTTGTTGATTTCAAAGCAATCTGTGGACCTTTTTTGTTCTGAAACATGGGATTCGAAGCGAGAAAATTTTATTCACATCGATATTTACTTCGAAATGTCTTTAGTTTGATACAGATTTGATGAAGTTTAAGGAAAATTTTACTTCTCATGTGTGTCTTACGTTTCATAAAATCATTGTGTTCATTATTTTCTACAGTCAACAACAATAAGCGAGTGCAAATAATGGTCAATCAAAGAAAATTTATAAAATAGTACAACAAAAAGGGCTGAATTCATCTCTAACTTTCCGACTAAATACACAGGCATTCTAACTTCCATCTGTGTTATACAATTAGTATGACGATACTGTTATCGATCGACTTGTATAGAGAATTATGAATAAGAAAGGTTTTTATTTTATAACAATAGTCTATTAGGATGAAACTTGAAATTTAAATTTAACTATTCAATAATTTTATTCAAAATCTATCAGTAGTTTCATTTTTACCTTCATCTTCTATGATAGATCTTATTTTTAATTTTCTCTGAGTAAATATTGATTGAAATGCTAGTAAAGACTTTATTCGATCATTCTAAACCTACCACATGATTCTTCGTAATATTGAAATTTTTGAATTCGATGATTTGATTGATCAGCAACAAATATGTTTCCATAACGATCGAAACTAAAACCAGATGGAAAATTCAATTGATTGGATTGAGAACCCACTTCATAACATCCAACTAAACATCGAAAACCATTCACGTCTGAACCAACAATGCGATGATTATTTTGATCTGCAATGAATAGATATTTCTCAGCATCTAATATAATTTCAGTGGGATAGTCAAGTTCAATTGTTTTATACAGTGATTTACTTCCAGCCACTGTGATACCATCTGATATTCCTGGCTGGAATAACTGAACTCGATGATTGTAAGAATCTGCCACATATAAATCCAAATTCACATCAACAAAAATTCCACGAGGACCATTGAGTTGATTCGAGGCTGATCCTTTCATAACTTCCCCAGCAGCAACATGATTTGAATTCATCACAGACTCATTCAATGATCTTTTCACTACTTGATGATCATCAGGCATTGAACAGTAAAGAGTATTATTGATATCGACAAACAAACCTCCGCATCGCGAATTGACATTCATCATCGTGACAAAGGTATTTGTTTCTGCACTCCATTTCTGCACTCGATCATTCTTATCACCATCATCAATATAAATATCGTCATTTGATGTTACAAAGAGAGACGTGGGTTCTGTAAAATTACCATGAATGATCTTTATTGGATCGACACTCCCTTCATACCATATAAAAATTGTGCTATTTTCTTGATTAGCGACATAAATTGTATTGTTTGTGTTCACAAAAATGATGGTAAGATTTTTGCCAACAATCGATCGATTAGCAATGGTAATTCCATTGGATTTCCAAGAGGCTGTTGAACAAAACTTCGGTTGATTGAATGAAAGTGCTAAAAACAAGAAAAATAAAAAAAACACTAGAGAAGAACTGTAAACAAAATGAAATTATTGATTTATATATGCGTAGAAAAAAAATAAATTTTTTCCTTATTTTTTACTAGTGTTTAGTATTTTGGCTATAACATTATCATAACTCAATGAAAATCAAAAAGTCTCTTTACCAAAATGATCAGTGAAAACAGCTCTACAAACCAGATATAAGCGAAGATTTTTAGAATATTTTTATTATTCATTTATGTATAAAAACAAAAAAGTCCATGCTATTTACGGCCCTCACTGTATCGAAATATGAAAGATGAAGTCAAATCATAGAATAATTTATATTAAAACTATATCGACAAAGATATGAACAGACTTTATTTTGATAAAAACTGTTTCATTGAAGAAATTTTTTTGAGACATGAAATGAAACATGAAAGGCTTTACATAGCATTTCATTAAGGGTAGAACTTTTTCTTTCTGTATTCTATAATATCAACAAAAAGGCAGAGATTGCTTGTTATAGATGATTGACACATGACTGTGTCTAATCTGAACATTTCATTTCCTTAAACACATTCTTTTGTACATTGGTTTAAGTAATCCTCTTAACCATTTTGGTTTTCTTTCTTTTTTTCTATTGAAATGTTTTTATTAACTTCTGTTACTCATCTATTCACATTTCTTCATTTTATTCAACTTCTCTTCAACTTACCAAAAGAATCTTTCATCAGGAAAAATTTTTGAATTCGATGATTCCAATAATCAGTAACAAATATGTTTCCAGAATGATCGAAACTAAAACTAGATGGATGATCTAATTGATTGGATTTTGAACCCATCCCATAACATCCAACCAAACATCGAAAACCAGTCCTATCTGAACCAACAATGCGATCATGGCCATAATCCACAATGAATATATATTTCCCAGCATCTAATACAATTCCAGTTGGACGACTAAGTGTAATTGTTGGATTTAAAGATCCACTTCCAGCCACTGTGATGCTGCTTGATTCTCCTGGCTGAAATAACTGAACACGGTTATTGTGAGAATCTGCCACATATAAATCTAAATTCACGTCGACAAAAATTCCGCAGGGACCTCCGAGTTGATTTGAAGCTGATCCGAAAATACCTGTTCCAGCAGCGATACAATTTGGAGTCATCACAGGTTCATTTAATGATTTTTTCACTACTTGATGATGACTACGCATTGAACAATAAAGAGTATCATTAATATCGACAAACAAACCAAAACATGATGAGTCGACATTCATCACTGTAACAAAAGTATTTGTTTCTGCATTCCATTTCTGTACTTGACCATTCTCCTCGCCATCATCAACATAAATATCACCATTCGATGTCACGAAGAGAGAAGTGGGATCTGTAAAACTACCGTGAATGATGTTTGTTGGATTGACACTCTCTTCTTCCCACATTACAATTGTGTTTTCCTCTTGATTAACGACATAAATTGTGTCGTTTGTACTCACAAAACTGGCAGTAGGATATTGACCAATAATCGACTCATTAGCAATGGTAAGTCCATTAGAGTTCCAAATGGATGTTGGAGAAAACTTCGGTTGATTGAATGAAAGAGCTAAAAACGAGCAAAATAGAAAGAATATTAGACAAGAACTATAAACGAAATGCAATTGTTAATTTATGTTTATTCTTGGAAAAATTCGTTGAGATTAAATTTCAAAAGATTTCTATGATTGTTGTTCTATTTTCTCGGATGATTTGTAAATATGAACTTACAGAGGGCTGAATTCATCGAAGAAGATCAGCTTTATTTATTAATTTTTTTTGTTATGAAAGAAAAATAGCTATATTCGATCCTTGAAAAATGAATTCAAAGGAGAAAAAAGACTTATTTAGAATGAAAATGACTTTATTGAAACTGATTGAGATCTAAACAAAATGTCTTTTAAATTCAAAATCAATTTTTATTTTTATATGAAAAACATTGTGAGTTTATTGATGTTAAATTATTTCAATTAAATACCATCATCTTTGTCAACGATCTGCATTTATCCAATGCCACCGTTATCATTGGTTTCAAAACCTACTAAATCTCATCATCATCTATATTCTCACTCAAATTTTGTGTGCTCTAAATCCTGCCTTCACTCGTCCACATTCGGAAAACACGTATAATACTATTCAATAGTCATGAGAAGGCTGAATTTAAGAAAGTCGTCAAGAGCGAGATGATTTTGTATTTTGTCCGATAGTATAGATTCTAAGAATATTTTCAGATAGAAAATCAAAAGCTTCGCCATGTTTTTTTACTATGAAATAATATGCCATGTCTAGAAATACTCGATTAATCTATTTGTGTTTTTACATGAACGATTCAAAAATTTTACCGATATGACACACATATAACTCATATTTCATCAATGGTAGTTATAGCAATATTTTATAATTTCAACGGAATTTAACTATAAAATGAATCGCTGTAGAGAGATGCATTCTTTAAATGAGTTAGACTGAAGTCTAGAAGAGATGAGAATCATCACTTTTGAATATATAACAAAAACTCCTGTCAAATTCTATAATCTATTATTTCACTCCCTTTTGTTCAACTCTACTTCTAATGAACAATATCGTTTTTTGTACAATAGCTGATCTTCAGTATGTGATAAATAAAAGTATTTACCTAATGTTACACTGTTGAGAATGAACAGAAGAATAATGATAAATACGTAGATATTCCACATCATTCAACAAGACTTTTTTTTTGATCAATTAGTCAACTAATAAAATAATCTTCTTCTTCTTTGGCTTCGATGAAAACAAAATGACACTCGTTGTACATTTTCTTTCTAGTTATATATTTCTCTTTTTCTCTCATTCATTCCTTCCAAGTTAACACAAAGAGAAAAAAAATAGTGTTCTAGAGAAGGTTTCGTCGTAGGTAAGATAAAAAACAGATTATAGATTAAATCAATAAACAAAATTGATCATTCAATTTCATTCTTTTAGAAATTCAACAACATAAAATAGAATTTGAATTCAACATGATCCTTTTCTTTTTTTTTGATTTTATAGAAAATCTTTGATTCTATTGAAGAAGAACGTGATGAAGACAAAGAAGAATCGATGAAAATCTATGTTAACTATCGGACGTGTTTTAACTGAAAATAAGATATCAAGTATCATCGTCAATAAATGCTAGACGTCAGTGAATAAGCCATGATAAGTTTGATGTCTTTTTTTTATTTGACTCTGTTAAATAATCTGCTATGTCAGGACTGACTTTTAATCACGTTCTTTATTTCTGTATGCGCAATAAGTATTTTGTATCAGATATATAAAAAAAACAGAATTGTTCATCACGATACGATCTATTTTTCTAAGAGACATCAAAAAAAGATGCATGAACTCAATTCGAAATTCAATATATGCAAAATCAAAACTCTGAAAATGGATATTTCTTGCGACCAATCCGACAGCGACGAGTTGTCAATCACGATGAATATCGATCATTCAAATTGATTCTAAAAGTGTGGGTGCGAACGAAAGATGACTATATTTTCCACATTTTTGCTTATGTGCGCATACTCACATCCTTCATTACTTACAAAACATTGTTTACTAATTTTAAAAATATTTATTTTATAAAATAATTGAAAATCAACAGTTTGATTTTTCAAAGAATTTATTACATAGGGTAGTCAAAAAGTTCTGTCACTTTCAAATATTTATTCACAGAAAAAACATTTTGCTGATCTTTTTACAGTAAATGTTCGAAGTAGTCCCCATGATGTTCTATAGGAAGTTTCATCCTTTCAATCCATTTCTCGAATGTCTTTTGGTATTCGTGAACAGGTATTGAACGAAGCTCCCTGGGTAACATTTTAGCTAAACTTGTTATATCTGGGTATGTATCAAGACCACGTTTCAGATAATTGAACAACCAAAAATCTGAAGGTGCAAGGTCAGGTGAATATGGTGGATGAGCCATAACTTTGATTTTTTCTCCTTGAAGATAATTAAAATTAAGAACCATATTTTCCATATGTACTGCCGTATTTTTTTAATGCAAACTTATGCTACTTTCTGTTGATAATGATTTTTTCTTATGTAATTTTTTTACTGATATCTTCGAGTATCCATTACAATCAGTGATGTAATAACTGTGTCTAGGATGGTAGCTATATAATCAATAATAATATTTGGATCATCATTCATTAGATCTTTAACACCATCAATATTTTGTTGAGCGATGGCGGATAACGAACGACCACTCCGAGGATTATCTTCTAAGGACTCTCGCTCATTTGGATATCGTTGAATCCTCCGACTAACTGTATTATATGAAACTACATCTGGTCCATAAACAGCAGTTAATTCATTATGAATTTCTGTAGCTGTTAAGCCTAATAATAAACGAGTTTTTATACATGATCGTAAACACAGCTTATCCATACATAAATAGAGGTATTCAATACATTCGTTAAAATTTTGCCATAATAAACACTTGCGAAACTTCGTATTGGTATTTTAATACATAACACATGTCACTATTAGAACAGACCAATATGAGGAATAAAACCAATTAGGACGAAATTTTAGAGAGCTGTTGCCAAAATTTTTTGACTACCCTATGTACTATGTTAAGATACTTTAGTTTGTTTTATCACAAAAGTCAAAATACATAACAATTATTCGCATACACATACACACACCCACACCTTCAATAAAATTCAAAAAAGAATCGCATGTATTTTTTGTTAGTTCAGACATTACTGATAAAAAGAGGCGAATTTCTCTTGTATCCGAATCAGTTTGGTCTTTATTGATTTTTCTATATCCTTTCTCTCAAACTGCTTTTATTTAATTCATTTTCAAAACACTTTATATTCGTCAGTTCTGTTAAAAATTTATCAATCATCGATTATCATATCTTCATATTTCAGTACATGAAAGAAAAAATCATCGCTACGAACGAAATCATTGTTGAGAATTAGTTACAGCTGTTATTTGCCTACATATATACATTCATATTTTTTGAATATTATTACAACTGAAATGTGGGCGATAGTTATAATACTTGCAAGCTGTTTTTTTTCTTGTTACTACCAATACCAATACACAATCTCCATCAGACAATGCTCGACGCAAACTTGTGTCACTCATTGGTCGAGTATATGAAGCAGACGGACATCGATATGCTTCTCGTGATCATCATGGAAATCCGATGAATTGTATTAAAATCATTAAAAGAACTGGCAGTGATGACTTCATTGGTGTGTATCATGTATATAAAGATAATGTACCTAGAGTTAATTTGGCTATATCCAATGATTTACTTGAATGGACATGGCTTAAAGAATTAGCTGTTCATGGTTCACAACCAACTATTGCTGTTCCAGCTGATCAACCACAAGGATATATCGTTGCATGGGAAGAAACACCTAGTAGTCATTTGAATTTTGCTTTCTATATGACATGGGATGATCTTAAGACTGGTAATGCTGAAAAAATGCATGAAGTTAAACGTACATTGTCTGCTTGTGCTGAAGGTACTCCTAATATTTATGGTGAGCCAACACTAGATAATATTGATGTTGGATTTCATTTTTCTCATGACTGTACTCTCGATCGACAAGCACGTGCTACCTTAAGAAATTTTAGTATGTGGACTGATATTCGAAAACAACCAGATATTGACAATGCTTTAATTCACTACTTTGTACGAGGTAATATTCGCGATCGAGATGCATTATTCGATTTTGATGGTTATGCATTCACTATCATCGAAGGACAATTTCAGCCGAAATCTATGAATACTTGGCGTATATTTGTGTTTGATCCACAGACAAATACTGCTGATCAAGTACCGCTTGTAACTGAAAGAAGAAGTCAAACATTTACTAATCCAACAATGACATTAACAACACTGAATGGACAACGTATTCTACTGATCACTCTCTTCATACGTCCTGAAAAAGCGGGCCAAGGTGAAACGGGTCAACTTATTTACTATCGCAAATTTTGAACTATGATATAATTCTTGTATCTCTTGATAATCGATCAACTTAATCAATTAAGGAATATAATGATCTGTATATCATGAAATATAACTAAACATAGATTCAATCAACACACATGCCTCGTATCTGACACACTTAACAAGAGCAAAATATATGTGATTTCTCTCATTTATTGTTGTACTTTGATAGAACATAATAACATGAAAGCTTATCTGCAATTATTTGTTGAAAAAGATGATAGGTAGGTGTGGTTGTAAGTAAATATGAATATTGATCCCTTCTTCTCCCGAACCCACGCTCACTCTCACATATGCTTGTTCTATTCTTCGATTTTATAAGTTAAGTATTTAAAGCGATGGTATTACTGAGAACAGAAATTATTTGTCTTGTTTTGAAAATTTAGATAAAAGGAAAGAACACAGAGAAAAAAAAGGAGTAAACCGAAGAAATCTGTAATGAAAAAAAACAAATAGAGCGTAATTGTTACTGTCCAATCAATCATCTGGTTTGTTTTCGAAATCTACAACCTTATTTGATTTCACACGTACACAAATCAGGATGACCTTTAGAAGTAGACGCAGTACCATGGGTAACTATGTAGGCACCTGAACCTAAACGACCACCATCATAATCACGAGTAGAAGTAGAACCAGTAATATCCCAGCCCGTCGCCTGGCCATGACCATTGATATAAGTGCGAGTAGAACCACCACCATCAGGATGACCATCAGTATCTTTCTTAGTAATGCCAGAACAAGCCGCATCAGGACATTTATTCCAACGATTGCCCAGGCGATACCAATCACGACATTTATTACAGGTGGAACCTCTAAACTTAGGAATCTATTTTGTCTAAAGACTTATTCTGTGCATTAATACAACCGTTGTTGAATATTTTTCATTAACGGATCAATCTGAGATTTCTCATACGAGGCGAATCTAACGGGATGAACAAAACTCAAAATATAGAAAAACGCCTCATCATTCAGTATAGCTAGATACTTTTCCTCATTGTGTAAACTAAGACCCTTCTCATTTTTCGCTGATTTCATGACATGATCAAAAAGCACCATGTTAATACGTCTGACACGGTCTTCGTAGCGGGAGAATATGGTTCATTCTCTTCATTATGCACTTCTTTACTGATCGAATGAGTAGTATCGATGACGATCTGAGTTGCTGCACGAAGATTCGCATTCGTCCTTACCTGTTGTTGTGTTATTTTCCGTCATAATTTGAAAAGGTTGTTGTTTGTCTGAATCCGGTCGATGTATATAAGATGAATCTAAAACACAATGCAAGGCTGGCATATGATTCTGTAGTCAAAGTGCGAACATGAAAAAAAATATGGATGATAGTATGGGATCAGGTCGAAACGGTAAGGTTAACAAAACGCGAGTCCACAATCCAGACTGTGTGTGTGTGCATCTGCGTGTGGATTCGTTTTTTATTCACCTACACCCTCAAATAATAGTAAAACCACATCCACTTACCGGGAAAATCTCAGAAACTTCTAGATAATTCCAGCACATAATATATAATATCATGTACATATGGTATAGCTCTAGGGTAGGAAGTAAAAAGAAAATATATAAAATACAAGGAAATTTCTCATTTATAATGTATAATATTGTCACGTCTTGATATTCAATAAAATACGGTCTTCGAAAAAGGTATATCTTTGTTGAAGAAAGAAAAGAGAAAAACAACAGGTAGAGAGAACGAAAGATGAAAAAATATATATATAATACATACATGTAACGACAGCTATACATATATATATGTGTATGTATTGGATAAAACCATAACAGAAAAGGGAAAAAATCATGACACACATGACACATTGTTAGAAGATATGGATTATTTCACTATTTTATAAATACGATTTACATAAGAAAGAGAGAGAGAGGTAGGGTAGGAAGTAAAAGATCTATAATTTCTTTTTTTCTTCTACCCTTCATACATCTTATATATATGGGTGATTTGCGCTACCATTGTACCGTTAGCATTTCTAAGATAAAAATACTTATAACTCATGTTCTACTGAATAACTTTCAGTGATTTTTTTTTCACATAACCACATACTAAAGTCCTACGTACGGTAAAAATTTCAAATCTTCCTTTCGTTTCCTTCCCTCCGAGCTTGGAACAAGAAAATCAAAAATGATGATTTCTAACGCCATTTGATGAAAAAGATTATATACGTATTCTAAAATTTTGATTGGATAAATACTATTTGACAACTATGTTACAGCTGATACTCTGTACTATCTAACCACACCGAATAATTATAAATTTATTATCGAATTGTCTCTAAAATATTGTAAAATTACTTTGACGCACACATTGACTATTTTATGTCCCGACAGATTAAATTCGACCTACTAAAGTTAATCGGAACCAAACTGCGGATTTTTTTGTATATATATGAAGACTAAAGAGTGAGAAATATTTCTATAAAAAAAATTTTCTCTAACGAACTTTCGAATCAAATAAAAAACGAAAAATAAAGTGAGCAAGTGGCTATGGTTTCACTAAATGTCCCGACAGATTTTTATTTTTTTTTCTTTGGTTTCTGGATAAATAAGGGAAATTGATCGACCATTTTTTTATCATTTTAACCTTACTAAGTGGTAAACCTACCATGGAAATATCAGCTCTTAAACAATCATCGTTCATGCGAAAAGAATATTTTTTCCAAGGAATGTCCCGACAGATTTCTTTATATCAAAATGTCCCGACAGATTTTCTAGTGTCAGAATGTTATGAATGATTGTTTTCACATATCTATTGAAGATTTTTAATAGTTTAGATGATTAGGAGATGTATTATCTTGTTCTTTCTCCTCTCGATATTGGAAAAAAAAGCGTTCCGAGAATAATATCTTAACAGAAAATCTACAATATTCAATGTTTTTGGAGAAATCGATTTCCTCGAAAACAAAAGGACTGACAGTTGGGAAACTATCTGCAATATATATAACTAACATAGCTATATCGAATGTGTGATTCAAGTTTTCTTCATGTTTACTTTTATTTTTTTCGATTTTTTTAATCAAACGGTACAATGGTAGCGCAAATCACCCATATATGATGTTATAGATTATCTTCTGTAGTAATATGTGAACTTGAGGGTGTCGGTGTGGATTCATCTTCTATTTACCCACACCCACCCACCCTGAAAAACCTTTTTACAGGTAAAAAGTGACGTCAGAGATATTCATCTTTTCTTCTCGCCTCATGTTTTGGTATTTACCCTGCTGATTACTTCTTCTGAAAAATAACCCGATTTTTTTTATAAAGAATGATCTTTATTTTCGATTCTCTCTACTAATAAATATCTTGCAACTTTATTCGCTGTCACTTATCACTTATCCTTTGAAACCTTTTAGATATGTCTCAAATGGCGAATAATAATGATCAAGAAGAAGCTTATGATGCAAGATTGGCGAGACAAAAGCAATATTTTGCTGAACATTATGGCTGTTCTATTTTAATAATGGATACGCACATTATAGCGAAATACAGTGGGGTCGGAATTTAATTAGTTTGAATAAAAAAGATGGTGATCCAGCACAATGTGGTAAAGATGTTTACAGTGGTATTGCTATTTGCAACAAGTGCTATGAAGATGAAGGAAATACGATACGCAAAAAATGTCACGAATTTAATATAGAAATAAGAAAAAATCATCAAGAAACGATTGACCGCATCATACAAGATGGGCTAAAAATAGGAATTATTACATACAGAAACTAAGAATATATAAAAAATGTTGTTCTTCTATTATCTATCAATATACATGACTATGAGTGTGGATGTGGAAGTGGCGATGGTCGTGAATGTAGGTGGGTGTGGGTGTAGGTGTAGGTGTTTGTTCTCCAACGAACCATACCAACACCCTCAAGAGATGGTTTCAACTAGATTTCGGGAGTTGACTATAACGCCAGGCTGTATATTGACCATCATGTTCAACGTCGTGAACCAAAAATAGGCCACTCGGTGCATGATATAAATCAGGTTGAAAATCAGCTTTCGTAGTTTCACAGTGACCTGTTTCAATATTCCAAACTGTAAAATCTATGCCATTATCCCATAAAAATAGTTGTCCATTGGCTGCCACCATCTGTGCTTGAGTATAGGGAAAGAGGCTAGTATACGGTGTCATCGTATAGGTTGGAACAGAAAGTAGACGACCAAGACGTTTTCCACTTTTCACATCGAACCATACGACTGCATTCATTTCTACTTCTTCGTTTTCCTCATCTTCTTTATCGATCATGTCTTCATCTACTTTTCCCCATACTGCTAGTGTATTTGAATCTAACCAAGTCATAGGTACATCCCAGTCGAGTAAAGACGGCCAAAGACAACGAAGAGAAGCACCATCCTCAGATTCCCAACGATTATTTTCAAGCCATTCTTCGATATTCCAACAACGAGTCTAAAATTGTAAAAAATAAGTTTTACACAACTCATTTAGAGTGCCGATCGTGTGTCCATAGTTCGGGCGTTTAAGTCATTCTTTTGACTTCGTAACGTCCCACACTCGTGTGATTAATTTGAAATTTAAACTCTGAAACTTGAATTTACAAGTTCTTTTAGTTTTGATTGAAAACAGTAGAGCTTTACCTTCCTCATATTCTCTGCCTATTTTAATATCCGGATTTCGATATCTATTGAGTAACTCGAGCTGATCAACAAAATATTGAAACATAGAAAAGGATAATAGAGAATTCCTGCTCTCTGATCTCTCTCCTAAATAGCTGCACAGATTAGCTTTTCACTAACCTCAGCCATTGGATGCCAAATCCATCCTGTTTCTGCCACTGTTTTACCATCAGGCGACACATGTAATTGGCCATGAAAGTATTCTAAATAATGTTCATGCTTCTCCTTCGCTTCTTGGTCAAAGCTGGGAGACGGACGTTCACTCAAGTTTTTCCCAGATAATATATCAGTGATGTCCAATCGATTCCATTCTGAACCATGAATAAGTAATGTACGACCTTGAGGAATTTCAGTGAAAGCTAAAGGAAAGACACTTTTATCACTGTGATAACCATCTCGTTCTAATTTTATCGGCAATTGTTCTCTCGAATATAAATCAAAAAGAGCTGCATATCGACCAAGTTGATTACTCACAGCAGCATATTTCCCATTAGGACTGATAACGATTTGCAGTGGATGTTTTATGTTCAAATCGGGAATATTTTGAATCGACAATAATTTTTCTGCTTGTCCACTATGAAGTTGCAATTTCCATAGTTCACTTTCTTCGTTAATGGCTAAGAGATTGACCGTATCTTCTGGTATTGTAGTAGTCTCAGTATCACAAGGTAGAGATTGAATGGCAACAACCACTCCTGGACTAGGATGTAGTGGAGGAAAATCGAAAGATTGAAACGACATTCGTTGTTCAACGTCAAATGAAACAATTGTAGCAAATAATTGTGTATCGTATATATATCTTCAAATATGCGTTATGAAGTAACAAAGAAAAAAACAAATGTGCGTCAACGTTTAATAAAATGGTGTAATATCATGGAGAAAAGAACAAAATACGACGAACGAGTCATCATGACTCATTATACGTCATACAAAAAATAGAAGAGAAGAAGAAAAAAACGGCGTTGTAAAAGTTACTATCTGAGAAATTGAGCCAAGTATTGATTCTGGTAATCGTTGATTTCTACTATAGTACCGTGTCTGTTTGTTTCTTAAGTTTTTTAAACTAACCAGCAAGAATAGAATAATACCGAAATCAGATTAATGAAATGTTTTTTTTTGAATTTTCTCAATAAAACTAGAATTAAGGGTCGTAGTTAGTATTATTTTTAAGATCATAGCTTAAACGAAACATGTACTTTTTCATTTATTGAAGATTAGTATACAGTTCTATTGTAGTTTCGTCATTCTGTTCGATAAAATAAAAATAGTACAAGGACGAAATCATATCGATGAATATAGAACGAAAGAAAAAAAATTAAGCAAATATATTACAACGCGATTTTTTTTACTGGCAACTCATTATTTTATCGCGTTTTACTCTTCGGTTATCAAAACGATGAAAATCTTATTGTATTTAACTTCATTTATTGTCTGTTATTCTTTTGAGATTTGTGTCCAACCATATTTTCCACCTCAAATTGTGTTTTCTTTTGATGATGGCCAACCATTATATGCAATTGATGAAATAAATCAACGAGCTTATCAGTCATTTACTGTTGAGCCTTGGAAACCACAACAATCATATCTAATGAAAAAATTTCCCTACGCAATTCCTGATTCTCCTCAATCAAAATATTATGTTGAATTAGTATTAGATCCTATTAAGGATTCATGTATATATACAACATTTTGGAAATATGGTGCAAAATATTTTAGTGATTTTCCATCACATTGGATATCAAATGGAAGTTCATTAGAAATAAAAAGTTTTATTAATTTTACTTATCCAATGATTCATTCAACTAATTTTTCTTCTCCAGATGAAGATTATTGGTATGCAAATCAAACATGTAAAATTGATAGTGGAGAAATTTATCCATGTCAAGAAATTTATTTTAAAAAAAATACACAAATTCCTCTACGATTAACACAAGTTATTTCTCGAGATTATAGATTTATACAAACTACCATAAATTATAATATCATATCAATGGGAAAACCAGATGATAAATATTTCAATTCAATACCTAAAGATTGGTTTACCGCTTGTAAAGATCTTGATCTTGGTATTTCATATTATCCAGAATTTGCAAAGATATATTTACATGAAAGTGCAAAATTTTTCATTTCTCTTTCTACTCCACCACATCGAATTAATGGAAATGATACTGTCCGTATTCAATTCAATACAACTGATTGTATGGATTGTTTTACAATATCACGAAAAGAATTTACTTTTAATACAAAAAATTTCAATGAAAATCAAACATTAACAATAACTCGTATGAAAGATGCATCTCAAACAACAATTATTCCAATTATATATGGTGGAGGTTTTGCTAATATTACACCACACAGATTTCCACTTTATATTGATTAAATTTCTTTTTAAAATATTTACCCGATTAAGAAAATAAATTTATTGAATATATAACGGACAACTTGAAGGTGTAACAAGATCGAAACCACCTCCATAAAAAACTGGAACAATCATTGAAATTAATAGTCCTTTTTTAACACGAGTAATTGTTAATATTTGTTTTTCTTGAAAATTTTGACTATTAAAATATAATTGCTCGGGTGAAAATGTAAAACAATCGGGACAATCTTTTGATATCCATTGAATACGAACAGTATCGTTTCCATTGATTCGATGTGGAGGAGTTGAAAGCCATACTTGAATTTTTACACTTTGATTTAAATCAATTTTTGCTGATGTTGGATTGTATGTAAGACCAAGATTAATATCACGACAAGCGATAGACCAATTTTTAGGTATTGAATCAAAATATTTATCATCTGGTTTTCCAATTGTTATTATTGTTAAATTTGTTATGACTTGAATGACACTCCATGCTACATGTCGAACTTCAGTTAATCGAATAGGTATATCAGTATTCTTTTTAAAATAAATTTCTTTACATGGATAAATTTCTCCACTATCTACTGTACATGTTACATTTGTATACCAATAGTCTTCATCTTTTGATGAATCATTTGAATGTATAAAATTATTATCAGGATTTATATAATTTTTTATCGTAAATGAATTTTCATTAGCCCAATGTGTAGGAAAATATTATTTTTATCTGTGCGACGTATATGTTTGTCACCTATTCGATTTTTTAGGATAAAGGATAAAAATTATTCGTCGCAAAATGACGGAGTAGTGACGAAAAATCACGCTGTAATCTATTTTTATTTTTATATGTATTATCAAACCATCTGTGGTAGTTTCATATTGGTTTTACTTCGTTCTGAATTATATTTAAATAGTAGAGCAGAATGACGCAGTAGTAATAAAACACCGAGTCATGATCGATTTATTTCATAAATATTTCAGATGAAAAAAAAAAAGAAATTTATTCAATATAAATTGGATAAATCTCAGCAGGAACAGTATTAAAACCTCCACCATTAGAAATCGGAATAAGAACTGTTTGCGAACCATTTTTAACACGCGTTATTGTTAATGTTTGTTTTTCTTGAAAATTTTTAGCATTAAAAGATAATTGTTCTGGTGAAAATGTGAAACAATCGGGACAATCTTTTGATTTCCATTGAATACTAACAGTATCATTTCCATTGATTCGATGTGGTGGAGTAATAAGCGAAATTTCTACTTTTGCACTTTGATTCAAATCTATCTTTGATGTTTGTGGATAATAAAGAAATCCAAGCATAACATCTCGACAAGTTAAATACCAATCTTTTGGTATTGAATCAAAATATTTATCATCTGGTTTTCCCATTGATATAACTTTATACGATGTGGTTTCTTGGACAATATCCCAACCTCGACGAACAATTCGAGTTGATCGAAGAGGAATTTGTGTATTTTTTTGAAAATAAATTTCTTGACATGGATAAAAATTTCCATTATAAATTTGACATGTTGTATTTGCAAACCAATAATCTTCATTACTTGATGAATCATTTGAATATTTCATTTCATAATTAAAGTTGATATAGCTTTTTATTTCAAATGAAGTGCGATTAGACAACCAATGAGCAGGAAATATATTAAATACATTTCCTCCAAATTTCCAATATGTGCCATACATGCAACCGGAAGGGTCAGAATCTGTTAGTAATTGAACATAATATTCTGATTCAGGTGTATCAGGAACTGCATAAGGAAATTTTTTCAAAGCGTAGGATGTTTCTCGTCCTGTAGCACCATAAGTGAGTGTTTTATAAGCTCGTTGATTAATTTCATCAATTGCAACTATTGTTTGACCATTATCTGGAGAAAACACAATCTGAGGTGGAAAATATGGTTGCACACTTTCGACAAAATAACATGAAAGAATAAATGATGTTAAGCACAACAAGATTTTCATTATTTAAAATCTGTAATACTTTTATGGAATAAAAAAATCGTTATAGAGTGATGTGATAACATTTTATCGATATATTTATCTTTTATTTTTTTAAGCTGTTCTTATATCTCATGTAGCAGCTCTATTACCAATCACTTCGATATTGATTTTTTTTTCTATGTCTTTACATTGAAGAAAAATCAATTTATTTTTCGTCGTTTTATGATAGATAAAACATGAATCCACATCCACACCTAATTTCGCTAAAGTTCCATTTCTTCTAAAGCTTTATCAATTAGTAATTGTAAACGTGTCATATCCACAATAATAGATGCAGCTTCTCGAGCATTGTTCGCTCCAGGAAAATCAAATTCATAATCCTTTGGTCCATAGATCTGATAATATTGTTTTCGAACATGAGAAATATGATTTAAGAATGCACCTTCCATCGATCCTGTCTGACCAAGTAGAAGACCATGGTCTGGATCAGTAACATAATAATCCATTACTATTGCATGTGCACCATGCGGTAGCATCGGTAGTATTAATGACACACCACCACATGGTGTTATTAAAATAGTCGTATGTAATATCTTCTCAATTTGTTTATCAAATGGAATAGCGTGCCATTCAACCACCTCAGTAGATATGTTTGGATACGTATTTCTGACAAACTTTTCTACTTCTTGTAAGTTGGCAATTGCACGATGTCTCTTTGAACCAGGACGTGCAGCTATGGAATGTGATTTATTAGTAATGATAATATGATGCTTTTTTGGAACAAATTTAGGATTAAATCCATTATATTCTATAATTTTTGATCTCCAATTGTAGAAAAGTGCTTCACGTCCATGATTTTCTTTTATTTGCGGTTTAGGAAAAACACTTAGTTGCCCTCCAACAATTAAAGTATCAAAACATACATATTCCGTATTGAAAGATTTCATATAAGCCTTGAATTCGACCATAGGATTTTCTGTTAATGCAGGTATTACATATTGATGATATGTACGAAACAAAGTCGTATTTGCTATTTCATCTAAATGCATAATAACTAATTTCCGATCAACTATATTCATTCGTTCCATCGAATACGCAATAGATCCTAAATCTTCCCAGAGTCCATGTCCAAGATTGCCAGCAGCATAGCGAGTTTTCATAAGACTATGTAAACTATGAAGTCTTGTGAAGTTTTTTGTTGGATATGTTTGGTTAACAATAACGGGTACCCATGGCGTTTGTCCACCCGATGAAAGTGATACAAATGCATTATGCTTACGATATATATTGAAATCATATAACATACCTTTTGCTGAATCATAGAAAAGTGGTTTTGGTTTATTTTGAGCGAATCGAAAATAATAAAATTGATTAGTATTTTTGTTATAACAGGTATTGTAAAATACGCAAAGACGATCTTTCCATGCATCGATAACATTTTCATCTCCAGTACAACGAAATTTAGAGGAATATTGATTTTCATTTTGTCGTAAATAGGATATTCCTATTTCGGCACTGAATGTAATATTTTTCGATAATTTTAGTGTTGATGTGTTACTAATGGATATGTTGCGTTTTTGTAAAACTAATAGATCTAATTTAAAAGAATTATTGGAAATTAATGAGAAAGCAAACGCACCAATTGTAATCGAAACTATTACAAGGCAAAGTTGTTTTTTTTAGAATAAAATCGTGGTTTGCCATTTGACTCTTCATTCACAAGTATTTTGATCTATAAAATAGTGGAGATATGTGATGTCAATAGTAACGCCAAAAATTCGACAATGAGGATTCATGTACATCAACAGGTTCAGTGCCACTAATGCCACGCATCCCTGACTGTGCATTTAATATAAACGTAAATTACTCAGAAAATCTTTTTAGCAGCTTAACTAAGTCGAAGAAGAACTAAAAATATCAAATACAAGATCTACAAAAAAAGAAATTTCATGGATGTATTCGATAAAACTAGGATAAAATTGTTTCTCTTAATTCCGCTTGCAATCAAAATATATGAATGTCATAAAGATTTTAAAGCATATTATCCTTATCTATAGAACAGTTAATATTATAATTAGGGATGTAGCGGTTACGGTTTATCACTACTGATCATATCAATCGAATACTGTTCACAAATGATTTTAATCAGTAAAATATAGAAAAATCCTAAAACTATTGTTTTTATATATGAATCTGAATATCACAATGATACTAAAAATGCTTAGAGGAAAAAGATGATCTGAGGATCTCTCTATTTCTTACAAATTTTACCAGTTTAAAGCGATTTTCGTCACCAGTGCATCGCCAAGAAAGCTGTCATTATAATAAAATAAACAGGACAAGCAACAAAACGTGGCATTTTTATGAAAATTTAACAAACACAAGGTTAAATAGACGTTACATCAAGGTATACAGTTAAGTAAAAAAGCGTGTTTGAAGAGTACACAAAATAATATGCACAACTTTGCATAAGCAAATGAAAAAAGTAAAGTGAATGTTAACAAGAGCAAATTTCTACCTCTAATACTTCAACATTCAGAAATGACGTAATAAAAAATAAAAACAAAAAATATTAATATTTTTTTATGTGTACGTATAAGCACATGTTTTCACGTGTCTATTCCTTCGTTCTCTTTTCTTTTTAATGTAACATAAGTAAGATATAATTGTGACTCAGAAACATTTTTATTTGATTGTTCGTCGTACATTGAAATTAAATACATGAAATTGCACAAGCATATGAATTTATGATACAGAATATATAACAACATTAATGTCAACAAATAGAACTCTAACTCTTCATACATTGCCTGTTGAATTAATTTATTGCATATTGGACAATCTTGATGATTTAACAATTATTCTGTCACTTCGCAATGTTTGTCTACAACTTAATGCTATTATTGATATCTATCCTCGATATCAGGTAAATTTTATTCATTTCTTAAGATACGAAATAATTTGCATTACTAAACTATCCGCTGATATCATTTCCAAAAATTACATATAGTATATTGTTGTACACATGTATGACTCATTTATTGACTCATATCATAAACACACGAATATTACACCATGTCTAACATTAAAGAATGTACTAAAACTTTTTGTTTCTATTTGCAAATTTGTACAGACACTGGCCGAATTGGACTGCACCCAACGTCCATTAAATGATCAAATTTTTCTTCTCATTACTCATCATATGTTCACTATTTTCATTCTTTGTAGACATTGATTACGCTGAATCTTTCTAATAAAAATATTTCAGCACAAGGAGCGAAATATTTGGCCAATGCATTACAGAGCAACATGGTACGATATGTTTTGTTTTTATCGATAACATATATATTATTCTCATTTAATATAGACACTCACAACGTTAAATCTTGCGCACAATAGAGTTGGTGCAATAGGAACACAACATCTCGCTCTAGTTTTACGTAATAATAACAGCGTAAGACAAAATATATCCTTATTAATTTCATACAGACAATTATTATTTCATACAGATGCTTACAATGCTGGATCTTGACTGGAATTATCTTGGCGACGAAGGAATACGATATCTAGCTTCCCAAACGGAAAATAAAGCATATACAACAATTCCAATCTTTGAGAATATAACGGGAGTGCTTAGATTCTCGGGACGATGTTATAATCCAGAGAATACAACAAAAACCTTAGGAGTACGTAATGTAAATATGTGAAATAGGCTAGCAAAAATCTATCCTTAATAGTACAAACCTATGCTATAATAAGAGTCTTTATAACGTCACTACTTAGTCTTTGTATACGATGTCAGGTTTCATGTATATAATTCTGCTTCGATATTCCTTGTTTGAGATAATACATGCATCTTCGAAAACGAGCAAAGCTTCAGGAAATAAAACTGATAGAGATTCATTCAATATAGGCACTCACCACGCTCAATCTTCGCGGAAATAATATCAGTGCAATAGGAGCAAAATATTTAGGTCATGCAATACAGAACAATACAGTAAGACAAAATTTCTTTTTATCAATAATATATGTACTTTTATCTTTTAATACAGACGTTGACTACACTGAATCTTGATATTAATTCTATCGGTGATGAAGGAGTACAACATCTGGCTCTTGCATTACAGAATAACACTGTAAGACAATGTTTTTGTTATCTATATGATATACTCAATCATTTTTATTCAAAATAGACACTAACCACACTTAGTCTTCAGATTAATAATATTCGTGCAGAAGGAGCACACTATTTGGCTATCGCATTACAATGTAACCAAGTGAGAGAATTTTTCTTCTTTTAAATTATATATAGATCATTATATTTCAACATAGACACTCACCACACTCAATCTTCAGAACAATTGTATTCTTGAGGAAGGTGCACGATATCTAATCAACGCATTACGTAGTAACAACGTAAGTCTAATTTCTTCTCACCTGTTGTATATCAATCATTATCATACAATATAGACACTAACTATGCTCAATCTTCAACATACCGATATTCGTCCTAGACATGAACAACGTTTCATAAATGCTGACAATCATATATTAGCAATAATTCACTTTTAACAGACAAATTATCACTCGTTTATGTATCCGTTTTAAATTGAATATCTTCCACTATTGATATCGAAAACGATTTGTTAACAATTTAGTTGTTCATGTTAAATAAAAAAGAATTATGTAAATAGGCGTTATTCGTCTTAATGTTAAATTATAACATAGATTATAACAGATGTCTCTGTTTTGGATATCATTTAGTTATTCAAAGGAATCATATGCGAACAAAAATATTGATATTCACTTGCAAGAAAAGTTAGATCTATGCTTCAACGAAATATTGCAGAGATTTGCGCTTATAGTCAACATAAGATGAATCAGTTTGTATACGCACACACTCACCGTCTTTGTCACCAACATGGATGACTCATCTTTGCCACGTTGTATTCTTGTCAGCAATATTGTGTAATTACATTTACCTCATATTATATATCAGAGCAAAATTGCTCTTTTTTTCACATTTATTTTCTTAAAGAGTATACAACACAGGATCATGTCTACAATGATCAATTCTTCAAATCCTGCCACTGATGTGTGTTCAATATGTTTGGGTGCATTAGTACAACCAAACATGGATCTGTTTACAACTGCATGTCAACATCAGTTTCATTTTGTTTGTTTGGCAAAAAGTGTTGAAGCACAGAATCATGAATGTCCATTGTGTCGAACTCGACTAGATTCGTTGAGCAGTATTATACATACCCCGGTACAAAGTACACCTATACCAATTCAAGTTCCTGCACAAGCTGCTGCTCCTGTTGCATCATCATCATCTACAGCTCCTGGGCTTTGGTTTACATTAAAAAGATCGCTTAACAATGCGTTTAGTTGGATGAGTAAGAGCTCATCTTCGAATTCGACTGAAGATTTGGTCGACGAAGCAGTTGTTCGTGCTCTTTCGGCTCGTATTCAAGGTGCTCGTCAAAGAGCAGCTAATGGTACAACTGAACTAGCATTGATCACAGCTACAACTACATTAGAATTTGGTGGTCAAGTATCAACACAAGCCTCCAATATCTATGGAATGGTAACACTTAAATCACCTTCACTACTTCCAATAACAGCTAGCGAAAAGGAACTCAATGAATTACGTGTTCCAATTGATCTCGTGTGTATCGTTGACGTGAGTGGGTCAATGGAAGGAGAGAAAATTACATTATTGAAAAAGACTCTAGATTATATTATTGATCAAATGGGTCCACTCGATCGATTAGCTATTGTTTCTTTTGATACTGCAGCATACAATCGATCGAATGGTCTTAATATGATGACACATGCAAAGTGCGTATTTTATTTCTTCACCTTTTGATAAATATTTTCTTCTTCTAGACAACAAACTCTTCACAATGCAGTAGCCCAAAGCATACATGCAGGTGGCGGCACTTATATCGGTTCTGGTCTCGAAATGGGTATTCAAATGTTAACTAGTCGTCGAACAAAAAATCCAGTTGGGGCTATGCTTCTTCTCACCGATGGTCAAGATAATCAACATCATGATTATTCTCAACTAATGCAAACGCTACCTGATGGTGTCGTTTGTCACACATGGGATGATGCAAGTATTACGTAATCAACTTTAGAGGGAGGAGAGGTCAGCCAATAATGACAGTTGATTACTGTAGGGAGGGTAGGGGTCGCTTAAAGATGACGTATACAGATTTTCGGGTTTATAACAGATTTGCCTATTGTGGAAAAATTCCTAATGATGACGTAATCAGGGGAGGGAAGGGTTCCGGGAAGTTGACATTTGATTATTTGGGGGAGAGGAGAAGGTCAAAATGGCCAAAAATCGGATTACGTAATACTTGCATCATCCCCATTTGGCTATGGACTAGGACATCGAGCAGCGTTACTCTCTCAATTAGCAGAGCAGGGACATGGAGGAACTTTTACCTTTATTGATCAAGTCGATGCAATTGCTCTTGCCTTTGCCACTGCTCTCGGTACTCTGTTCACATGTGTTGCACAGAATTTGAGTGTAAAACTCGAATTCGATAATTCATATGCAGTTACACACTCGCATTCTATCTATAGACATGAACCTGTTCAATTACCTTCTTCACAAGTCACATTCAAACTTAATGATCTCAATAGTGAAGAAAATCGTAATCTTGTCTTTCAATTAAATGTACCTGCACTTGTCGAACAATCAAATAATAATGATATCATCGGTGAGTAGAATCGTTATTTTTTTTTCTAATACACATTCTACGATTCTTCTGTTAACAGGTCATGTATCACTGAAATACACTGACGCTATTAATAGACGTCAAATTCAAACACCAGCGGTACCATTTCTACTTGCACGTCCTGCTCAACTAGCTCCAGACTCACCATTGCTTGTTGTGAACTATGCAGTTGATTTACAACGTAATCGTGCCGAAACAAGTCGTGTTTTAAAAGAAGCAGTCAATGAACCAAATTATGAACGTGCTCGAGAATTATTGAATACACAATTGGCAAAAATTCGTGCATCTGTTTCAGCTCAAGATCCACTATGTCAGCAATTAATACGTGATTTGGAATATCACTATACAAATCCGTCTCAATTTGCAACAACCATGACCAATATGTATATGCAACATGGACAAGAACGATACACTTACTCAACGGCTACAACCATGAGTGCAAATTGTTATATGACATCGGGTCAAGAACGTTTTCGAACGCTTGCATCAAGATATAAATAACGCATTGTAATCCCATGTGTAAAAAACAGACTATTTATTCAAATAAAAATATACAAAAAAATGCGCTCTTAATTATATCACAGATTGAGGGTGCGTATGGCTGTGGCTGTGGGTGAAGTAGAATAGTCACACCCACACCCTCAAGATATTGATGTTTATGATAATGATTAAGATCTCTATAAATGAGTACATTTCAAAAAATTTCCCCTGGAATTATGATAAAATATGTTTTCACAATGATGTAACGTTCTATAGAATAGACTTCATTCTACTACTCGGTGAACGATGTGCTCTGTCGAATATTAAAAACACAAAACTTTTTCATTAATCAAGTAACATAATAGATGTTCTGCTGGTATTTTTTGTGATCAAAATAAACACATAAATGTCAAAGTAGTGTATGTTATTCGAATGTTTTCATTTTGTAGCATTTCAAAAGTGAGAAATGATTTTTTTGACTAGATCTTCATTTGGAGTAATTAACTACCTAGTATCACATTAGAAACATATTGATGACGACGTATATAGAAACTTAACACAAGTTTTCTAGTTCCTTCATTATCTCCGTTATATTTTGCCCTTCCTGCATTGATATTTGCTCTTTTAATACTAAATCTATAATATATTCGATAACAAATTGATGCGAATGAAGTAAAATTACTTGAGGGGGTGGGTGAAGAATAACCACACCCACACCGGAATCACACCATCCACCTCACCCACATTTGTTGTGTTGTGCTGATAAGTTATCTCGTTTGGACACTATCTAATTCCGTTACGGAATTCCCGGAATTGCATCAAGACGGAATTCAGTGGAATTGGCCGGAATTCCTGGGAATTCCTACCGATTCCCACCAATTCCGGAATTGCGTGGACTAGTTCTAATTACGGAATTACATGGAATTCCTACCAATTCCGGAATTGGACGGAACTCGATTCCGGAGCAGAACTGGTTCCTGAAATGTTCAACATTGCGGAATAGGATGACTGCTCACCCACACCCACACCCTGGATATTCATTTGATCCAGAAACTATAGATTATCCATCGACAAATGCACAAGTAGATGAAGATACTATAATCGAAGCTGGAGCTAATAAAGCTCAACAACAACATTTAGAAAAATTAAACAAACAAATTAACAAACAATTAAAAATTTCTGAAATGTGGAAAAAATAGATCTGTTATAGACAGATATTTCTCTTATTTATTTTTCTTCTCTCTCTTTCTCTCTTTTCTCATGTTTTCATTCGTCGATAAGAGAAAATAAATAGATGAACGAATAAAACACATTGTAACACTTTAAATGAATAAAATTAGTAAGAAAAAAATGTCTAGAAAATGAATATAGCTATTAAACGAATTCCTAGAAAAGTCCATAATAGAAAGTCACCCTCAGGAGAACGCCACCAAAAAAAGAGCGATTCGGTAGAACATAATAGAAAGCCATGCCTTTTTATTATGAGGGGGGGGGGGGTTTACTATAAAAGGGTAGCGATATAATTATTTCACTTCTTTAGCATGAACAAAACACTAGTTTTATCTTTTCTTTTTCATAGTATTTGTGAGAATGTGACTCGAACGAAGCGTTCGAGAACAGAGAGTTTTTTTAACAATGAACATCGGGAATAAAGTGATATGTTATTCTGAAGATTATCAGCGAACGAAAAGATTTCGTCGATTTTACTAGGTACTTTTTTCGTTCTTCCTTCCTGTATTCTGTGGATTATTTTTAGGTTCATTGTCTCTTGACAGCAAAGTATTTGTCTTATCAATCTTTATTTATCTTTGTTATTTTCTAACCTTTTCTTCATTGTCTGATTCTACACAAATTCAATAAAAGTTACTTTTTAGTAAAACAACTTTTTACTTTTCACTTATAATATTAATTTATTTGAGAGATATATGTATTATGCGTGAAACGAATTTCGCTTCGAAAGTGTAAGTATAAGTACATCCTAAGTGAACAAAATACTGATCTGCATTCTTACTCATCTCACTAAAACTCATTCGACTCTTCTAACTTTCAATAATATAAATTCTTTTTTCTTTTTCATTCGTTTAATAGTTTGAAATAAGTAGTAGTTTTTTTCATAAGATGCCTTCTTTCATTGTGAAAACTATCATCCATTTCATAAAATCATGCACATAATGGAAACATTAAATATATCGGCTTTTTCAAATACAACAATTAAGTCAATGAAACTATTTGGCAAAAAGAGTATGGCTGGAAAAGATTGATTTATTCGAACATGTTGTGGAGATATTCATTTCTGATATTCGTTCGAGGATGATTATTCATACGTTATCAAGTATTATCATCACATTTGAACTTGCTTGTCATCTAAATACATGTTATTGGCGGCAAATAATGATTAAAATTCCTCACTTCTATATTTAAACCCAGTCTTCTCGAAGGAAACGATGCACTCAACTATTCAAACAACGGTTTGTTTTTTATCAGCTATAGATCTTTTGGGACAACCGACATGCAAGATAACTTCATGATATCAGTGCAACTCGTATATTATTTAGTTAATGATAATTTATTAAGAGATGTGCATGACTAAATAGTTTGATTACAAATAAGATTTTATGATTTAGTTCACAAAAGAAAATGTCGTTATGGCGATATCGATTGATAAAGCTCAGCAGTATTGATGGCATCTTCGCTGCTCTCTCCGCCAGTAACTAATACATATCCATTTGCTAATGTAGATGCTGTGTGATACATGCGTGCAACATTCATGTTTCCTGTCATTGTCCAAGTATTTGTTGATGGATTGTACAACTCAGGACTATGCGAATAATCGCCACCGCTCTTTCCATTAGTAACTAATACATACCCATTTGCTAATAAGGAAGCTGTATGAGCACATCGTCCGTGATTCATGATTCCTGTAGTTGTCCAAGTACCTGTTGATGGATTGTATAATTCAGGATTAATCCTACCAATTTTGCCAGAAAAACCAGCAACTAATACTGATCCATTTGCTAATATAGTTGCTGTGTGACAGCTTTGAAAAAATCTCATGTCTCCTGTGGTTGTCCAAGTACCTGTTGATGGATTGTACAATTCAGCTGTATCGCTATTACCACTGGCCACTCCACCAGCAACTAATACATGTCCATTTGCTAATATGGATGCTGTGTGATCATATCGTGCGAAATTCATGTTTCGCGTACTTGTCCAAATACCTCTTAATGGATTGTACAGTTCTGCACTATTTATGGGCGAAGCTCCAATTTTTCCACCAGCAATCAATACATATCCATTTGGTAATGTGGATGCTGTGTGATGCTGTCTTCCCACATTCATGTTTCCTGTATTTGCCCAAGTACCTGTTGATGGATTGTACAATTCAACACTCTTTATAGCAACACAATTTATGTCAGAACTAGTACATCCACCAGTAACTAATACATGTCCATTTGTTAATGTGGATGCTTTGTGATGTCGTCTTCCCACATTCATGTTTCCTGTATTTGTCCAAGTACCCGTTGATGGATTGTACAATTCAGCACTATTCAAAGAAGCATCACTGCTCTCTCCGCCAGTAACTAATACATATCCATTTGCTAATGTAGATGCTGTGTGATACATGCGTGCAACATTCATGTTTCCTGTCATTGTCCATTCTAGATAACGTAGAAAAGTGAGAAAAAATGTTATTCTTAGAGCAACTTCGAATCTCTCATGTTAATAAGTTCTCTATCTATTGACCACTATTTAAACGATGTCAAACCTTCAATAAACTTTTCTGTACTTTCATCGTTAAGATAAGATCCATTATAGAATTTTCAACCAATTTAAAGAAATAAGAACGTTGCAGGTTCAGATTTTAGCAAATTAATGTAAAATATGCTACAAAAGACTTGATCGATCGTGACCGGATTCTATCAACTTTGTGGTATGATGAAACTCAAATAATGTCTTACAGTTCAGCTATGATACATAATAATCAAGTTTTCGAATTTAAGTAAAGCTCATTCTACATTGTTTAACATGGTGGAAGCAAGAAGTGCTCTCAATATCTTAGGTGTTTGGTGTATGAGTATATGTCAGGATGTAGGTAAAAGTGGATGTGAGTGTACGTACGATAATATGGTATTCACATTATTCTCATGGGAAAGTCAGTATACTAATCGTTTCAGGATGATAATGATGAGTCTTTTTCTCGATTTTGAACTTATCATTTTATACTTCTACAATTTACTTGTGAATTCCTCGACACGATATAAATGGTTCTTAAAAACATGAGATTAGTTGTTGATAAGCATATCATATGTTAATACCATATCAACTAGTACATCGATGTGTAGAATTATTCCATTAAATTAGATAAAAATCGATTATTTCATAAGCAAATATAGATTAAAATCTGCCTATCTTAATATAATCAAAATCGACTTTTTCTGTTGTAAAGGTTACTTTTATTTATTTTCATTCTTTCTCCCACGTAATCTTAATTTAATGCTTCACGAACTTTTTCATGTTTTATCCATCTTGTAATTATTATTAACTAGAAATATTTACTATGCGAATTTTGTATAATATTCATGTGAATAATAAATATATAACAACAATAAAATATTTTTCTAGATTAAATGAAACTGATGAATTGCACAAAAAGACAAGCTAATTTTCGGTTGTGTGCGTGAAATGATATGAGTGTTGACACTATGCTAATAGTAGTAGTGATAGCTACACCTAGTACTCAATATCACTCAGATGTTCTGATTAATAAATGATAGTAATTATAACGTTGAGACATCATAAAAGACATCAGACTTTTTCAGTTCAATAAGTAGTTCGCTTTATCTCCTACACTATGTTTACAAGCATTGATGTTATTTAATCTTATTCAGTTATACAGTACATATCATTATTAGCCGTTTACAGTGTTATGAAAGATTACTGAAATGATCCATGAGTTCTATTGTCTGAGAATCTTCTTATCAACAATCTATTCGTATGATAATATTGAATAAGACAAGTATATTCAATACTTGGATCAGTGTAAATCAAATCAAGTGATCCTATTCCAACTTCAGATAGAAAATCTTCCCTAATCTTGTTTACCTAGATGGTGAAAATTCGATAGCTAAAACAAAAAAATGTCGATGTCGTTACTTGCAATAATCATCGTTTGAGCAACTACAAATGATTTAAAATAGTACTAACCACGCATTGCTATTATTATTGGTGCTGATATTGTTATTACTGATGTTGTTGTTGTTGTTGTCGATGTTGTTGAGGATAAGGACGATGCTGAAGATGACATTATTAATGTTGATGTCGTAGTTGATTCTAGATAACAGAAATGAGTTTAGAATGAGACTAAACCATTGGATAAGGTTTTACTCCTAATTTCTTTCATCTTCTTCTTCTTCTTCGCTAACAATATATCAACCGTAAATATGAGTTCATTATAATTGTAATTCTATGATCTGTACTTTAATTGCATTGCTACTATAAGAATTTGGACAACTCAATTTACATATCTCATAAGTTTAATAATGAAACATTTGCAGAATTACAGAGAATGACTCATATAACATTTGCATATTGCTACTGTTCTTGAGATATTTCATTTTCATTTAGGAAGACATTCTGGTCAGAAACTAATCCTGATTCAACAGCCAAAGCTCACAGCTTATGAGTAATTATCATAAAATCAACTAAATTCATGTCGATCGAGTTTATCGCTTTCTTTTCAAAACTATTAATTATTGTGGTGTGCCTAATTATACTGTTAAGAGATTTTTTGTGAAACAGAGAAAAACTTTAATGTGGCATCATTAAGCCGAAGAAAAGTGGTACACTTCAAATCCAAGCCATGGTGCATTACTCGATGGACATTGATACTTGATTCTCAAAAGAGGAAATACTATGAAAAGGGTTGAGTATCTTTCTGATGCAAATTAGCGGGAACGTGTAAGATCATGGCTGTGGGCTGGAATGCGTTAGTGTAGATGTGCGGGTGAATGCACCTTCGGGTGCTGATACGAGTTTGAATGTTCAAGTGTATGAATATATGAAGATACTACATTTGCCCTTGAGCAATATCTAGTGACACCCTAAAAAATCTCATTTTTACTGCAATGGATATTTGTTTATAAAGTAAAGGTCGAGCTATAGTATTGATGTTATAAATTTGGATACATTACCTTAGGACACTGAGGCATTCCTCGATGATTACTGAAGAAATCTCTGTAAATGAAAATATGCTTCGAACCTGGGAAATCTTACGAACCGAGCGGGTCTAAGAAATAGGTGGAACTTTTTGGACTGGATCGAACCATAAAAAAGTGGTGACGGCATGCCTAACTCCGCTTTGAGGAAATTCAAAATTGGTCACATCTAAAATGGAGGAGAGTGCAATGAACACTATCAATATGACAATGCCTAGTGCTAATTCTCATATATAGCAGCATATTTTATTATGCATACAACGGTTCTAATACTACTTCATTACAAAATCTGTATATAAAGGATCTCTATTATTTATATTTTAATCGAATCATCACACGCATTTTAATATATACGTTGTATATGGTTTGATTTCGGATTGGGTCAGGTATGGTCGAGTCAAGACAAGAAGCATATATATATATATAACACTATGATTTCATTTGGGGATGTGAGTAGTGTGCGTGTGAGTATGGATGAATGGCTGTCGAGGGTAAGTGTGAATGCGGGTGGTTATCTGCTTTTCACGTACACTCTCACTCACCAGCACTCACCAGCACTCTCAAGCTATTTTACATATATACATATAGATATATATTTTTACTCAACGTAACCCAACTCAATCTAAGCTTAGACTTCAACTTCATTTCTATATTTTTTTGGATTAGAAGAGATTTCTATGATTATACTTTTAAAAAAGTATTTAATTAGATTTCCGAAATATTTCTCGTATAGTCACTTGACTTGAATTTTCGGGAATATTAGAAATTACCATCACATAGATATCCTAGGTGATAGACCTTATTGTCCTCTATTACCAACAGAAATATCAGAGTGATTGCTTGTTATCGCATAAAATGCGAGGGATCAATATTCTGGTAGGAAAACACGAATTAACGAGTAAGGTCCATATTATTAATGCTATTTTAGAGGTTCTTATAGATTAACTACTACGTTTGGAGGGATCTATATCTAAAAGGCACCTTTAGTCAAGAATATTCTTTGAAAATCGCGGGAAAATTGAAAAAAACTGATATTGGCAAATATCGAAAATTCTTCTCATGTTGTGTCTATTTGTATAGAAAGAAATGATCTAATCGAGCTTAAAATTTCAGCTAATACTAATGTCACTACAATCTTATAACATATAAAAAGAATCAGTGAGACCTAAGATGTTGAACTATCACTGATATCTAATTTTCTGAGAGACTTATTCATAATATATATTCTTCTAAATGCTAAAAATTCCATTATAGGTCTCAGAAAAGCTTTTGATAGTGTTGCTTAGAAACATCATGTATAAGTTGTTATGATAAACAATGAAGTTCTACTTCTATTATCTTATGTCGTTATTTCAATAACATATCTAATGTAAGTTCAATGATGATTTGTGGAATAATTTATCTTTTATGAAATATTCTAAATAAGAAATTCTTTTCTTATATAATTCTGCATTTTCTTTTTGTTTACATCGTTTCTGTCGTACCTGTTATTGTTATTACTATTATTTCAGTTGTTCTCCCCTCTTTTGTTGATATTTTTTCACTATTTTTTGATTTTCCTTTGACCATAGCGATTGGAATTGTTATAATTAAAACAGCTACAATAATAGTAAATATGATCCACATTACTTGTCTTCTTTTCAGATATTCACATCTAGAATAAGAAATCTTTCTTATCATTGCCTATAATTCACAATATACATACAATTGTTTTGATTGAGTTGCATTCGAAGTAACTGTTTCAGACTAAAATAATTAACAGAGACAAATATTATGTTTTATAGTTTTTTTTTTCTCTCAACAAATTACATCATCATCAGCAACTCCTATTCTGTTGCTGTTGTTGTTCATTGTTGATATCTTGTTGATAGTTGGATACTTTTACAATCTAAAATCGACAAAAAAACGTTTTTACATATACGTATAGATTTTCAATCATTAATAATGTAATTAAAAACGAAGCTAAACTGTTTATTTAAATATCTTTTCTCAAAGAATCATTTATGCTTTTCGTTAATTGTTGAAATCTATATTTCAATTAATACCAAACATTCCTTACCGACTAATTCAGTAACATAAAAAAACAGACTTAAATATTGTTTTTCTCACTTAGAAGTTTTTCATTCGAATTTCAACTAGAAAATCATTAAAATAATAGAAAAGATATTTATCCTGCTTTTGTAACATCATAATCTCTCTCTCTCTCTGTCTTAGATAATCAGTTCTTTTTTTACGCATATCATCGTGTTAATGTAAAACATTTGCAACAAAAAACATCATATATCAATAAAAATAATCAGCT